ATATGGTGGTTTTGGGACGTTAAACCCCACATATCATCATTAGTTTATTTTATTTGCATTCTTCCAACAAACATACTTATATTAGTTATCATTGTATTCATCAATAGCGTGTTTATCGTTCACTAAAAACACATTTGGCGATGACTTTGAGAAGTTAGCATTGGAGACTAACAAATGTGCATTCAATTGATTAAAAGCTACCCTGGGGACAATCTCAAATAACTTAATATCTACTTTCGTTCATAGTTGCTCATATTTTCACTGAACAAGACAACGGAAGTAATCTTTCTCAACTCCCCCTTGTATATGAGTGACATTTTTTCATTATAATTAAGGTTTCTTCAAGAATGGAGAAATTCATTAAATTTCTGCTACTTTCTGGCTTTAGAATAGTTGTGCAACATTTTAAAGGGCTTTTTTTGTGTGAAAATTATGTGCCTGTTAGCCTCGTAGCATCTGGAAACTTTGGTCCAAACCCTTTCCAACTATTTAATGCCTTAATTATAAAACTGCTGAACAAAATAAAAAATTTCTCATTTTCCAGCTTGAAGTAGCAGCCTTTAAATAATTCCGCAAATAAATCATCTAAAGTGCAACAAGTGCAACTTTAATGCGTACTTTTATGTACGTCACAAATTCTCCATTTGCCCCAGAATCGAGGACCTTGCAACAAAAAACTCTCGTCAGAACTACGTAACATGTCATTTTTAACAGAACTACGTAACAAGTCGAGGTTTGAAACACGTGCAGTCCTTACACAGGATACTCCAGCTTAAGCCTTTCAAAGCTTTGACGGGCTTAAACTTTTTATATTTGTTGCCAATTCCATCGTGGACTTCAGTATTGTGTGCCTCTTCTCTAACGTCAACTCTAGTTTTTTTTGCTAGCTTGTTTTCCAGCAACAGTGATATGATGAGGTGCTTTCACACTACGGTGCTGTTCATTTGTGAGACAGGCTTTATCCAGTGTAAGAATCGGGCTTGATCCCAATATGCTTAAAAATATCAAATGTGCTTCTGATGCGAATATTGAAATCGCACACATTGGCAAACAAAGCAAATTTGATAGTTTAGAGGCTTACATAAGTGTCTTTGAACGTGAAAAAACACTTATGTTACGCGTTCGCCTGGTGAGAATGTCTTTTATGTCTAGAATTGAGTTGTCAGCACGTTTAGAGCATTATTACAGTGCTAAACAATCAATAAAATAACACATGTCAGGCTAACGCTATGATTGACACACAATTGACACGTTCTAAGTTTCGGTTTCGTAAGTGACAGGAGGCTGAACCTTCTTGCTTGTATCTTTGAAAAGAAACCGCGTACACGGACGCTTTATACTGCAAAATGACTGGTAATAAATTGGGCATTTAACGTGACCAAAAACCATAAAATGACATTTTCAAGAAAGAAATCACTTTTTCCACTTGGCCTCATACCTTGAAGGCTCATGTGTTACAACTTTCAAACTGTGTCTGCACTTCTGGCGTTGTAATAAAATGCGAAACTTGACACATTCTCTTACAGACATACTTGAATGGTGTACGAATACCAGAACAGTCTTACGTCAAGCTCAATCATCTGGACACCCTCCGCTTTGGTTATGATATCCTCTTTTCTTGTGCTTGTGTGTACTTGCTAAGTTAGTTTGAAAATCTACTTGAAATGCAGACACAATAAACTGAAAGTTTAAACTATGTGATATGACATGCTGGCTGTGGCCACATGAAGGCACAGGGTTCCCTTTCAGGGGGAGGAGCAGGTCAAAGGTTCTTTACGGCTTGCCCCTCCCATTAAGCCAAAATAGGAGGCAGACTTTGCCTCCCCTCCCCCCATAGGTGACGAGGTAGACGGCCGCCCCCCACTCCCCATGCAAACTCCAGTGCTGCGCTGCTTAGCATGACGTCACAGCTTCGATTCCCACCAACAGTGGCCACGTTTCGAAGTCAGTGGAATGCTCAAGAGTTCCTCTATGTAGACATTTGCAAAATATAGAAACCCGAAATGTCTAGAGTATAGAGCCTGCCGCTATTGTGCCAGTCATAACTAGTTTGTTCTTCTAGCACATTACTAAATTCATAACTAGAACTTTAAGATGAGCTTGCAAGTATATGAAAACTATGCAGGTATCTTGTTATGTTATGCAACTTGTTACAACAGTGAGCCACTAAGTTAATAAATATTTGCTTTTCAGGCAGTAAAATGTCTACGTGTAGCGACTCGGTTATTGTTTACTGATTCAGTAACACATTTCTGACACGCGAAAATTTATATAATTGACGATAGACTGTTGTGATTATGCAAATTATGCAAAAGAGTTCCTGTTAGAGGGAACACTTGAATGGGCACATTTTATATAGCTGGCCTCTTTACAACAAGTGTATTTGAAAACATTTCTCATGCACACTATAGACCCGTCAAAAATAGTCAAAACTGTCGGCAACTAGTAGCGTTATGCCAATATGTCGCCATGCTTTTTTGCAAGAGAGGAAAATTTGGACATACCTTGCACCCAAGTGTTCTATTTAACACTGGACTCGTCTGCGCACTCGTACTTTTGGTGACACGACCTTGACTGTTGTTTTGTCACGTCATGAGGTGTTTTGTGTCCACAAGACCACTGATCGTGCAGTGCCTTTAGATTCTGCATCGCCCAAAAGGAACACTCCTGCATTTGGAGATGCAGACTTGGTGATAAGAGAGGCAAGTATCATCATTGAATTCTGCCTTGCATCTTGTGTCAATGGGAGTTGACTGTGCTGTGTCATTGCCACTTTATCACTTCATTCCAAGCCTAGGCAATTGTATGGTCATACAGTGTAACGTATGTTGTATAACTCATTTGCAGCATTTACTTCGGAAGCAGCAGATTTCATCTGCAACTGCTTCCATTTTGATAGTAGTGGTAGTTTTCATACCCTTGTTTTTAACACTTGCTAAGATGTATAACTGCTCGGTTAACTTTGGAGAAAGATACACATATTTTCTTGCACACTTGTCTAAAAAATGGTGCTGTCTTTTTTACTCGATGCTGTTTCTTTTTTTTTTGTTTTATACTGCATTTAAATTGTTTTGCACTGGTCAATCTAATCTTTATCAAAGGGTATCTATGCAGACTCTTGGTTCAGTGTATGTATAGCTATGTTCTCAGCTTTTGCAATCACATCAACCAAACTAAATATGAAGGGGTGCTGACACGAAAATTTCCAGTTGTCATTTATTGGATGAAATGAAAGGCCAAGCCTTAAAAAGCCTTAAAATGTATTGCTAAGCATGAGTGCAACCTGAAAAAGTATTACAGCGAGCTTTTGAAAGCTAGTCTCGGTTTTTACTGCATCCTTATGTCGCAATACGGTATAAGCTTCTTGTTAAGTGCTCGTAGAAGATATGGTGACATTTCCACGACTGCTTGGCACCGTGGCTCTGTTGGTGAAGCACAAGCAGCCATTTCGAACATTTTGATGGCACACAAGTAGCCATTACGGAAGTTTTGGTACCTGACGTCATCACAACTAGCCAGACTGCTGCGTGAAATCACCAGAATTTGTACTGTAGCCTTACATCAAGCTATATATGTCGATGTTGGTAGGTGTGCCGTGGGAAAATTGACTTTAATATCAAAATGAAATATTTTAATTAGCATTTGCTGAGCCTGGCACTTGCACAGAGTCACCTCTGTATGTAGGAGATCTTTATGGCAGTATAGGCACACCTCCAAAAACTGGTGTCAGTGCCCCTGTTAGAGAATTCTATTGGGAAGTTGCAGCTTTTATTCTTGAAATGCCTCTCGTAGTGTAGTAAATATTGGTGCGTTTTTTTATGTGTGCCTACAGCTCATTTTTCTGCCATGGTGGCCAGCACCATAGGTGTTTCACTGTAAAGCTTCGAGGACTCTGTTTGATGCCCAGCCATGGCAGTCGCATTTTGACGGATTGGAACACACACATTGGTGCCCTTATGCTTGTATAAGGTGGTTGGGACTAATCGAGAGACTGCAAATTATTATTTTGCAATCTTTATATACCATTACAATGTGATTGTAATTAGTACTTCTACTTTTATGAAATTTCATGTTGTATAATTACCCCCTCACACACTACTCCTGCCGGAGCTGTGGGGACTTCGTGAAACGAACGGCGAGAGGCTCTCAACTATCATAGTGTTGGCAAATAAAATCTCAAAATTAAAAAAAAAGTGTTCATTTTTGGTGTGCTTTCTGCTCGAGTTTTCGATTAGGCACTATAAATCTACCATCTCGTCTCACTTGCGCTTTTACAGGCCCAGTTCAATGTCAATTTTTAATCTTCCATGCATTTTGTTTGTTTACTCTGCTCATATTTGGGAGCTCCTACTTATCAGTATTATGTATAGAAAGTAAAATTGGAGGACCTGCAGTGTTGGTGATATCTTGTAGCATAGTGTTCAGTCATAGTTCATCATAAATATTTCTGCAAGTTGTAGAACTAGTTGAAATGTTCAACTATTAAATGTGTGGTGCACACACTTCACCAATATGTATTGATAATAGGTGCTCACAGCTATTCCTGAAAATGTGTAACGCATAAAGTCACTGCTATTTACTGCATATTGTTCTAGTGTTGAAGGTAACTATTTCTTGGAACTTGGAACTTTCATTTTAACTTCAGGAGAAAGAGCAAATACGTGCAGTCACCTTTAATGTAGCAGCAAAGTAGACCATATTGAGTCGTTACAATAACTTTATGTACCCTGTTGGAACCTGACATCAAGAGATGCAAAAATTCCTCATTAAGGTATTCCTAGTTGCCGTTAAGCATATCGACAGGCAAGCACTTATTTGTTCCCGTTATTCTTTTGGTTTGGTTGTCTTGCAACAAAAATCTGAGCACATTCAAGCAGCAGTTTTCTTTCTTGCTGGCCTCCCCATTTGCCAAATGCAGGATTCCAGTGCCAACAGAACATTGTCGCGTGACAGTCCTGCTTCCGAAAGCTCCGACAAGATGCTGCCTTCCAGTAATGGGGCGCACAGTGCAACATTCTTACGAGAAAGTCCGAGCCAAAATGCACAGTCTCAACTCTGCAGTCCTGCGCATTCGACGCAATCGGCGGAGGATGCTGATACCGCACCGTATGAAGCTCTCTTCCCCATCGACTTCTCGGTCGCCAGAAGCACCGCCTCCCTTTTCCACGGGGGGCAGTCGGCGTTCGTCTCCTCCCCTGACCTCAACTTCCAAGGAAGCCTCGTCGCTTGCCTCGAGCCCCCTTAGCACAGTGGCATCCCCTCCTACATCGTCTCCCCAGACGTCGGCTGCGGCTACCACCTCCTCACCTGTGGGGTCTGATCCTGCCAGCCCAGAGAAAGCATCTTCAAGCTCTCCTTCCAAGTGCTGAGAAAGAGGCATCTCTGTCGTCGCCAGTGATGCAGGTGCAGTGTGACTTTGAGCTAGAGAGTGCAATGGAACAAAAAATGATCTGAGTTACACTAAAAGATTGGATGACTGCAAAATGGATCGGAGGAAAATGGATCAGGTGTTTTAGATATCCTAGTTGACATCAAGCAAAAGAAATGGACCTGGGCTGGCTGCGTGATGTATAGGACAACCGGTGGACAGTAAGGGCAACGAAGTGGTTATCAAGGAATGGGAAACGCAATCGAGGTAGGCTGGCAGTTAGGTGGAGGGATGAAAGTAATGAGATGGCATGGATGAAAGGAAATTAACCTGCTCAGGATTGGATAAATCATTGGGAAAGGTCCTTGTCTTGCAGTGGACTAAAACAAGCTGAGAATGACAGTGATGATCTACAAATCCGATGAGCCAGATGGGTCATAACGCTGGTGTGGATTCACAGCTGGTGAGGCAGCACTATCGCATGGTAGCAGAGATAATTACCTGCAACAAATTTCACCCAGGAATAAGATAAACCTCTACAGTGAGAAAGCTTTTCTGTCGCTACATGTTGACCAACAAGCGAGATAAGTTACAGCAAAAACTAAGTTGTAAGTTGTTCCTACAACAGACTTCTATAAATGCTTCTTTATTTTAAGAAGATCAATACCTTAATGCTCATTGCGTGCGTTGATATGGAATGATGTGCCAATATTTGTCTGATAAGGCTGAATACTGTTGGTCACTCTGTGCTGTCGTTTCTCCTTTGATCGTAATCATTCGGCTTTGATAATGCAACTTTTACTGATCATCCTAGTGCATGAGTGTTCAGTTTTCATTTAGAAATTTGCTTGGTGCTGCAACATACGTTTCACCAGTCCTCTACAGTTTGTTTGGTTATGCTGCCTCTCACCAAAAAGCCATGATCTGTTTCAAGACATCTCATACGTGCGACATTATGAAATCTCGGTTGTCTACCTCTGCTGTGTTTTGAAGTTGCTGCAATGTTTTATATTACCTAATAACAGTCTGGAGTTCGGACAATTGCCTCTTTTGTGGTATTTACCCCTTTTTCTTTGGATTATCTGCCACCATGGTATAAAAAATTGGTAAAATGGTATTTCCTGCTGTCTCCTCCATATAATCTATGTATTTATACTAATATGTGCAGCTTGTTACCTTATTGCTATAGTTTTCTGCTATTGATCTGGGGCATGCAATGCTTTTTACCGTGAATGTAGGCAATGCACTGGGGTGCTAGGCAAAAATGTATAGCTTTGTATTTTCTTTGAGAAGCAGTGTATCTGCAATGCCCTTCAAGCAACTATTTCTTCACCTATTACGTTATGTGTTTAGTTTGCGTCGAGTTGAATTTGGCAGTGTTCTTGTGTTTTATGTATTACTTCGACTGCTTGAATGTAGGTGATGTGAAAGGTTGCTTTACCTTTCCTAGCATTGCCTGCTCAGTACGACTGTGGGCGGTCTCGTTTTACTGGTGAGGACAATGCTTGTCTGATGTTGTCATTCAATTGACTCTATTCAAGAAATTGTAGAAATGAGTCAATTAACTGTATAGCTGAAGTATAGCAGAGTGCATTGAAACCCGACATTTTTTTTTATCTTGACTGCTGCTATGAAAAATTGCTCAAAACTGTGTCACATGGCTGGAAATCTGGCCACTAAAGGTAATGTTGGCTGTCATGTAAATGGTACTCAAAATTACGCTGATATAGTATGAGCTGTAGGTGCTGGAAACAAAAGTACTGTAAAATCCTGATCCCCCCCCAGTAAGGAAGAATAGTTTGACGAATTTGGGGGGCAGTCCTTGCTTGGTCATGAATAATAATTCAAGATGGCAGTGGAAGAGCTGCTACGAATAAAGAATGAACGCCCGTGCTTTTATCGAAATACTTTATTGAATACGCATTCATTTACTGTTTTTATTCGCCCTCATTGGGTGAATAAGACATATCTCCAAGAACTGGGTGGAAGGGGGCGCTTTCTCGGTATTTTACAGTATATGCATTACTTAGCTCTGACTTCTTGCGCTCAGTCCATGAGAGCTGTGCACCGTAAGTTCGCCTTGGTTGAATGTTGTATAACAGCTAGGCAATCATCACACAGAGTGTCTGATTGTTACAATGCTATACTTTTAAACATTCCGTGCATGATCTGGTTTGTACTAGCTTTGAATTAATGTATTGCTTGCTCACTGTTTCCTCTGCAAAACATACATTGTAGGATGCAGACTCTCTGGAAGATCTGAGCAGAACTGAGGATTCCCTGAGCACAGTTAGGGAAGTGCTTCCCCCAGGTAGACCACCTCCCACCAAGCCCACGACCTTGTCCTGGAAACCATTGCATTCGCCCGGCAAGCCTCGTGCACCTCCGCCACCAACAAGACCTGAAGGAAAGGGTGGTAAGCTAGTAGCCATCACTTGCCTGCATTAGCAAAGCTTGTAATTTCTGAAAGAATAAATTTTAGGATTGACAACTCTCTAGATGCTAGTGTAAAGTTATAAAAAAGCCATTTGAGAACTGTCTCTTTCTGTTCAGCATGAGGGTATGTAAGTGTTTTCTGATTTGTCAGTGTGTGTGCAAAGATAAGCTTATTGAGTCCTGCATTAACTTTTTAAATTTTGTACTCGGTGCAATATGGGTTCAGAAGAGTTAGTCTGAGTCAACATTTGGGAAGCCGTCATAATGCTGTCATAAGCTCCTGTCTGCAGTATGTTGAACAGTCTAGATGTTCTGTTTGTTGGCATTGCATGAACTTGGAAGTAAAAAAAATGTACCATCTAGCTGATAAATGAAACCTATTAAGATTAACACAAAGCCTGCTATACCTCTTCACCCTCTTATCTCCTACGCATGCCTCTGAGTTGTGTAATTAAGCAAAGTTTACCTGTGATATTGATAATTCTTGGTGTTCATACCGGTCTCTCTCGTATGTGTCTCGTATGCAGTGTCCGAGCACAATATTTGTCTAATTGCGTAAGAGACATGGCAGCAAACAATTCAGAGGTCTGTACAGAAGTACATGCTGGATGGTGTTGCAATACTTAACTCCATGGAAAATTGAAAGGCTTCGTCAAAGCACATATTAGTCGAATCCTGCTTCAACGAAACTGACGGGGCATGGAAAAATTTTGTTGAAGTGAGAATTTGTTGTGGAATCGAAAAAATATAGCTGATCTGAGCTAGCAAAACAAAGGAACGTTTATTCTCAAAATTCAAAAAATGTTCACTGTTTCCTATTCTTTCCCAGCTGCGTCACGACATCACTCACCCTTGCACATTGGGGCCATGGTGAAAAGCACGCTGAAACAACGCCTAAAACCACCTTCCTGAACAAACCAAACAGTTGCATTAACACGTTAACACAACAGCTATCCGCCGTCAAAAGTATCCGACAATGCCGAGATGGAGGCATGGTATCGTGGAAGCAGCGACTTTTGCATTATTCTCTGCCATTCTTATCATCCATCACTCGCGGCTAGCTGATTTGTTGATAATGCAGGCGAACAGCCGCCTTGATTACTTACCACACTGGCCAAGTGCGAACATAACGATAAGCACTGGAATCTGAAAAGGCATCGTTTCAGCGGTTGCACCCAGCAGCTGCGTGATGGAAACCAGGGACAGAGCGACTTAGCTTCAGCTTCAGATCATCTGCGGCTCAAAAGCAAGCCAGTGGCAAAAGCAGGACAGTCTCATTGCCATCGCTATCAAGCAATGGCGGAGTGCTGAACAGCGGCGGTATAGCGGCGGTTTCTGGTGGTGCCAACGCGTTTTTTCAGACTTCGTTGCATGCATTTTCAGGCAATGCGTGGTTTAGACTTCTCTGGTGCAATTTCAGGCTCTGAAAATGCATCGAAATGTTAAACATTAGGTTTACTGCATAGCAGTAAGTATCTGAGCCTGGAATTTCGTTGAAGCTGGGACGATCGAAGAAAAAGTGTTCATTGTGGCGACAATATTTATGCATTGACTCCTGTGGACTGCTGACGGGGAATCGTGAATTTTTCTGTGTAGCGGAAATTTCGTTGAAGTGGCGTTCGTTGTAGCGGAGTTCGACTGTAGTTATAACTTGCGTGTTGACTTTGACAATGTGTGCCTTGAAGGGCTCCTGATTAGCACAAGATCATGTATCAGCACAACACTGTGCAAAGTACGACTGTTTTCTTGGCAAGTACTTCCAGGTGCACTTCTTGCTGTTTTTTTTTTTCTTTTAATGAACGTGTGTTCTTGGCACTTCATTAGCTGTGTTGGTATAGTTAGAACTCGATCTAATGAAACCTGATTTTACGAAGTTCCTTATATAACAAAGAAAATGAATGGTGTCTTTGCCTAAATAAGTGAGCAAAAAAGCTGCATTTTTCATCAAATATTGGCATACACTAGTTTCTCTTCAAGTGTGCACTGTAATATCATATAGTTCAAACGTCTGTACCATCATAGTTGCGACCCTAGTTTCATTTTGATGAGGCTGCACACAACACCCATGCATGAAGTAATTGTTTCAACAGTCAACTGCCAGATAGTTCTTGATATGAGGGTGGTTTATTGTCGTCGTGAAATCTCTGATGGGAAACACTGTAGTGTTTATTTTTGTTATTTCATGTTTTATGTAATGTCTCCTCTAACTTTCTCAGTTGGCCAGCTCGCACAGTCAGTATGTTCATTCTCCCTATTTTTGAAGAATGTAAGCAGCCTGTCATAGCTTCGCATGACCGTCTACCTGTCCCTGCATCATCCAAACATGGGAGGCTCCATGTTCAGCCTACCCTGATCAACTGTTCACACGCGCTGGCATTTGTTAGTAGCAAATTCCATGCCACGGTATCTTATAGATATTCCTGCGTTGCTTTAAGATTCTGAAGGAGGAAAAAAATTATTTTCTCTATTTTATGAACTTCTTGATCTAATGAAATAATTTGAGCACCGTCATCACTTAGTTAAATCGAGCTTCTACTGTAGCAGGACGAACTCACAATCTCTGTCAATGATTCGCACTTCATACTTGAAAAATGCCTGCATTGTTACTTACCTTAAAATGCTTGATGCAATGATTTTTTTCTTGAGGCTTGCCATATTTAGGCTTAATTATGTTGCAAATAACTGAAGCATCAAATTAAAAGGGGACTGTGATGCATGTTCCTCATAATTCATTGTGCTCTTGGAGACTCAGCCACACCAAGCTATCTGCAAAGACTAAAACGTTGTTAGAAACAACACATAAAGCTTTTAATATAAAGTAGAAGAAATGTACAACAACAAACTAAACACTTCATGAAGTTTAGTGTACAAGAATGAAAGACCTCTAATAAAATATCACGACTCATTGCATGAAAAAGAGTTCGGCATGGATGACTGGTGTAGTGGTGCAAGAATGGGCATCAGTTTCACTAAATCGTCGATGAGCTGATCGATGAATGGGTGGCTGGAACGCTGCAGCTCAGACTTTTGAGTGGAGTGGGCTTCTTGGCTGCAGTGGAAAAACTCTGACAGCTGGGTGGCATGCTTGGATGGCGAAAAACATTCTGGCCAATTAGAGAGACAGAGAGAAAGGTAGGTAGGTTAACTAGTACTAACTCCAGCTTGCTATTCTACACGTGGGGAGAGGAGAATGAGGTAGTAAAAGAGATAAACATTGCACATAACACACACACACACACACCTACACATACCGTGCAGGGCCAGGTAATTGTGTGCAAAGCTTGGGCCCATAGCCCAACTGCTCTGCTCTACCTGTGGGCACCAGTATCTGTTCATGTCATGATGGAGTTTGTAACAGTTTCGTGAACCACTGTGGTTTTCTCGCGCGGAAAAGCTATGGCAGGAGGCCTGGCCAGGTGAAGTCCTCCTGGTGGCTCGGTTCTGCCACCCGACCACCATCTTCAGCACACAGTCCTGTGACAACTATCTGCTCACCTTGTTTCCTGGAACTCTAGTTAGTTCTTTATGCCTGGCTTTGTCCTCCTCTCTGTCCACTTGTCTCCTGATAGGTGGCTCAGGGAATCCAGTTTTCTCCAGTGCTTGGCCCCTGGAAACTAAGTGGTGTTTTCCGATGGGATCATTTTTCTTCTATTTGAATTGTCGTGCCATATGTACTCATCCTCAACTTTGTTTACTTTCATTTTTTACCACTTTGCATTGCACTCTGTTGGCTTTGTCTTTGCATTGCACTTTTCAGATGTGCACCACACTACATAAGGCAAAGGATGCTGTGTAATTTCTATGGATCTTCATAGATTACAGATAAAATCAGATACAGTTAACTGAAATGAGTAGAAGTGTTTCCGTAGGAACGCTCAATATATTCAAGCACATTTATCATACATTAAAAACATTAATGCTGCCCAGGAAGTGTCTGTTTTGCTGATTTGCTGGTCAATTTTTTTCTTATGTGCATAGCTTAATGGAAGCAGCCGCCTGAAGAGCAAGCAAGTTTTCTCAATGACGAATTGTTTATACTCGTGCTGTATCCCCCGAGGCTGTAATCCCCATGGGCAATGCAAGATAATTTTCAAATAGATAGTAGTAAAAAGAAATAACTACATTTTCTACCATGTCTTTCAATCTACTTGCTGTTTGAATTTATGTTAAACAACTAGGTTATTGCAGAAGGGTTGACAGGTGGGCTAGTTGGTACAAATTCATAATGAAATAATTGGAAGTAATTGAAATAATTGGAAATAATTGGAACGGGGCACAAGAGAAAGCGCTTGTTTTTCTCTTCTCTTGTGTCCCGTTGGTTTGCCCTTCCAATTATTTCATTATGAACTAGGCTATTACTGCCGATAGTTTCTCAAAAGGCAAGCAACTCTTTGTCATTTCTCCTTTCTGCAGATGATGAATCTCCTAGAGCCTCAAAAAATGAACATTCACCGTGTCCCGACACTCCCACCTCCCAGACGCAGGCGTCTGGCTCCACAGCTATGGCCTTCACAATCCACTTCGACAATGACACGACTGGCAGCAGGCCGCTGGCCCTTAAGGACAGCATACGAAAATTTGCACCTCCGAAACCGGAGTCTGAGCGAACGCCGTCAAAGAGTCGAGCCTCGCCAGTGTCAAAGCCTGGCGAGTCGTCGTCTACTGTGAATGGGGGCGGTCGCAGGACTCCCACTAGTCCAATTAATGCTACTGACTTGGCAAAACGGCGGTGGAGCGGTGCAGAGGTTCGCAACCGGAGCAGTGGAGGAGGAGGAGGAGGGTGGAGCTCAGACGTCGAACCCAGCCGCCAAGGGAGGCGGCAGGATGACCAGCGTCTGAGTGACTCTGCCTCTTACTTAATCCAGAGGATGCTCAATGACGGCCCTGCGCGGGCACCTCTGCCAGGTCCTGGCAAGGGTGTCTCATCGGCGGCACGTGTCGAGCCAAGTTCTGGCTTAGAGCAGGTGTTGTCTCCCGCCGATGATCGAAGTGAGACCGGCACGTACACAGTCGAGACGGACCGTATCGACCCAGACGTGGAGGAGGCCCGTCGTAGAATTGACGAAGTGTTTGGTGTGTCCTCGTACAACCACCCGTCCAGTGTGGAGCAGGTCAGGAAGCATTCCCATGGTAGTACACATTGAAAGTTTTGGCAGCTTTATGTGGGCAGATATGTTACCACAACCAAGGAATCTATTATAGGGATGATCAAGTCATTACACACTAGCTGCCCAACATTTACTGCAAGGCAAGTAGAAAAGTAAAGGGGGCAAAAGTTGGCTCTGTAGTTCTTCAAAGCAGCTCTCCCTTCATTAGGGGAAAAAATAAAATTTAAAAATATAAACACCATTGAACCCCTTTTTAGAACTCGTAAAAAATGTGTGTTGAAGAGTTGGTGCCCTATTGTGCTAACGAATTGGTATGCAAAACTAGAATACTAATAGAAAGTTACCTAAAATAACGGACTTGACCAACAACAAAGCCAGAAATGGAGATTCCCATGGACGTATTTCAGGTAATGATGTACGTATACTTAAAGTGACAAATTAGATGCAAGTGAAGAGCTTTCTTTCTTTTTCTTAGTGTAGCGAAAATCTCTCTCTCTCTACATAGCACATCTCGTTAATATACTGGCTGTGCAGTGGCAGTGCTGGCAAGGACTAGTAAATTTCAGTAACATTGATGAATGAGTTCCTTTTGAGCACAGGTGTGCAGTCATGGAAGGACATTGCCACTTGTGTTTATTGCTTTCTTTTAGTGTATTCATGCTTCACTGTTGAAGACTGTCAGCATTGCTTGGTGTAGAACATGCCCCTATGTTTCAGAAGCTTCTCAACTGTTTCAGCGATTTCTGCTAAGATTGCACCCAGGAAGTGAACAGACAAGAAATTATGCAAGCAGCAGCGATAATGCTGGAATGTAATTGGCTATTGCATATAAGACGCTGCATTGCGCCGATGATCAGTTTTATTGATGGCTGAGTATTCATCGCTACCGGTGGACAGTGTGTGTTGCTGTAAGTTTTTGTTTTTTCGGGCACAGGTTTGCCCAAATAAAAAGTTTACTCTTGAAGAGGCCGTCTGCTGCGCTCTTCGTGACGACCTCATGACATTATAATATACTCATATTCATAGTGTGAACATTTAGACTGCATGTCCCCTGTCCCACATAGCATCTCGTCAATGACGGTTGTTATGAAAAAAAAAAAAAAGATTGCGAGGCCCTTACACGAGTAACTATGGCACAAATGGGCACCAGTTTAGCTTGCTTTGTCACTTGGCTAGAATGTTTCTCTTTAAGAGATCTCATTGCTGGTCCTTCTGTTTGTTTTTTGTGCTTGCAGTACCAGAGGGTGAGGCCGGAAGGTGACGGGGTCTCTGGTTCCAGACCAAGGAGCCAGGGTAATAATGTTCAGAGCTTGTGTTCCAAGTTTGGTGGTGGTGGTGTCATTGGCCCTGCATGTGAGTATGCGTGCTTTGCCTTGCTTGCCAATCCTGCATGTTCACTGGACCTTTACCCTTGTTGCTGTTGTTAAACAGGCACTATGGTGAAACACTGAATTAAGATTGGACTGGTAAATTGTTCTATAAAAACTCCATTATTGTTGATTTCACCATCATAGGTTTTTCATTAAAAGATAAATTGGAGGCAAGCTTCGTTTTTTAATTTTGCACTAAAATCCAATCTCCTGTACATTAGTGTGACATCATGGTCATCACTTTTGTTTGTGTGTGTTTGACTGCATCTGGCTCGGCAATATTTTTTTAAACGTGTTATGTGAAGACTCGAGTTCTTTTAGAAGACATTGTCTATTTTCAACAAAGAATTATGCAGGCCATAGTGGACAGTCGAAATTTGCCATCACGGTGAGTTGGTGCTAGAATTGAAGGTGGCACTGTCACCTGCATTTTTAAAGTCCATTTTCTGGCCTACCAAGAGCTCATAGCAAGAGTGGTGTTTGTAATATTGTGGAAGGGTAATTTACCTACCCTTCGTGTCTGCTTGTTTGAGGAAACCTCAAAGGTAGCAAGCAAGGACAAATAAGCTTTGCTGCCCTTACGGTTCACCTTGTCAGCTTTTTATTCTCCCTGCCTTGAAACCTCTTGTCATTTTTGCCCTGTGCCAAATTAATGTGTGGACCCAGAAGGCATATGATGTCTCTACACACCTTGCTCCCCTCAATAAAAAAGCTTGTGTGTGCAGTACCACTGTAAGGCAAGTTACGAGTTTGTGAAGTCCTTAGAATGTCCACTGGGATGTGGATAGCATTCTTTTGATTGCAAGCTGCTGTGCAGTCGTTATCATCATTGATCACCATCTCAATCAGAATCCAGCTCAAAGAAAACCTGAATGCATACCTGGAAATGCAAAGGACAGCTATAAACCAAAACGAGATGAGGGAGCTTAAGCTGTGCTAGCAGCACAAGGACTGGCTGCTAAAAAACAATATAAGCTAAGCTTCTCAATTAGCTGTTTTGGCTGAATCTTGTATGGTATTGAGTTCATTTTTAAATTAAAGCAGTCTCATGTTCTTAGTCACTCTTCACTGAACAACGGAATGGTCCATTTGGAAATCTATTCATAGCAATGACAGTGGAATAGTCCTGAGCATTAGTGTAACAAATGCTGCTCGAAAGTTGCTCCTTCTGCTGCGGCTGCGCACTGATGTAATCCCCTTGCACCTGAAATGTATCATAATTGATGTGACAATGTAATCATAGCTTTACCTTGCTTATCTCCTCTCTCTACTGCTTTCTCTCCCCTCTACGCCTGGCAACTACAACATTGAAACTTGACCCCACTTTGCGAAGCAAGCTTCGCCTGGAGAATTTGAAAGCAAAGCAGCTGACATGTTTTATATTTCTATGCAACATGATGCCTGCATGCCTAAACCAGCTCTGAGAAAGTTCAGTGATATTATTGTAGTCCAACCTTAGCAAGCTCACCTTGACAACAAGGCACTAACTGCCAAACTGGAATTGGTCACACTTTGTTCACTGTGGTGAACTCTGTTAGTCATACGCAGACTCTTGCAGCCAATCTTGTGTTTTTTTTTTTTTTTTTTCAGTTGAGATTTTTCTTCCTTTGTGTCCCATACTAAAGGTACTGCTAACTGTCGACTGTCTATAATACTATGATGCTGGCTGGGCATAGATATATTTAGTGTTGTTTTTAAAAGGAGGCTACAGCGTTTCCCGCCTACTGCACAGCTCCAGCCAATCAGTGATCCCACTGAACAGTCGATGCAGTGAGAACACTGTTTGACGTGCATCACCCCTTTTACTTGCTGTAGAAAATGCAACCCTGAAGCTGTCAGAATCTACCTCTCTTGTTGGCCTTAATGTTCGCCTTCCGCATCCCTTTGATATTCTACTCATCATTATGGACTTGACCTTTTGCTGCTAAGAGTCGCTACTTCGCGACATACCAAAAAAAAACTTCGAACAAGCAAGCCACGAAATGCGTGCTGTCTGTAATGCTGGCTGTCAAGTACTCGTGGGGAATGTTGCTTTCAGCATGGAAAATCTAGCGCCGTCATGTCTAAGGTATTTTATGCTTGAACCTATTGTTTTCTAGCTGATGGCAAAGATCGCAAAGTGCGTGCAACAGCTCTCACCTCTTAGTTTTTTTGTTTTTTTTTGCCTGGTTGACATAAGTTCTGTCTTCAATATTTCTGTTTAAGGGGTGGCACACGACATGTTATGGAGTTTGAAGTACGTTCTTTGTTGCAAGGTCTTTGCTTCTGTGGCACATGGAGATATCGCGACATACATAAAAGTATGCATCAAAGCTGAGATTTAGATAATTTAACTGCAGAATCATTTAAATGTGGCTATTTAAAGCTAGAATAAGAAAATAATTTTTGTTTTGTTCAGCAGTTTCATAATTCAGGCATCAAAAGTTTAATAATTTCTTGTTTCAGGCGGTTCCATCGATCTCAACCGCACTAAGCGGCGACTTCCGACAGCCACCCTCGGAGCGTGTTCCGCTAGGACACCTTTGTGCCATCCACAGAGAGCAGTGGTGCCACAGGAAACGCTGCAAGGAAGTCGGCGCCCACACCTCTTCAGACTTCCGCTCCATGTGCCAACGCCACAGCAAGGAAGCGATTGGGCTCCACCAGTAGCCGTCCGAGTCCTCCATGCTCTCCGCCCAGAACTCATCGGACCACGTTCAACAAAACTCCATCGAACAAAGTCATGTCAACGTCATTTGGTGTAAGATCTTCTCAGTAGGGCTTTGAACAAATATTGCTGATAGATGGCGTGGATTTGCCTGTTGGTGGGTTTCATTTAGAGGGGGTCCCTGTGAGTAATAGGGAATACCTAGACTCTGATACATGGAGGCTGCACCACTACTTTGGTATGTTGCTGGTGAAGTTCATATCTTGTTCTTGCAACTGTCAAGGCATTGCGGCCACTTTGGATTGGTGTGCCTATTAAACTGTATACTAGATGATTTTGTCTGCAAGTGTTACGTGGCAACTTGGATGTGAAGAAAACATGGAAACAAACACTGATCTTTGATGTTGAGCTGTGGTGTGAGATGCATAACAAAATGTGCACATGATGAAAACGTAGCCTTAGAGGGAGCACCATCGAGTCTGCAGTATTTTCAGATTATGAATGTTTATTTGAATTCATAACTCATTTCAAAAAGGCACTGCATATAGAAAAGTACAAGTGCTGCAGTAGGACTGCTTGTAAAATAACCTGTTTTTTTTTTTTTTTTTAGTCATCGGCAAGCTTGACTCAAATGCTTCACAATGTAGCCTTGACTAATTCTACTGATGCCAGCCGCTAAGTGTTGGGTGCTGTTGCCGAGATGATACGTTGGTATGCTTGCATAGTATGTCGGCATGCATTGTTAACATCTTGGCAACAGAACCCAAAGCTACGCGGCACTGGAGTCAATAATGGTTTCATAACATGCTGCGGAGCATTCAAGTTAAGCTTCACAACGACTGTAGATGCCTTCTGGTATGTATTGCTTTAAAACAAGAGAGCGAGAGAATAAGCTTCTTATTTTATAGGAGTGAGGTGGAAATTTTAAGGGCTCATTTTTTATTTGTTCGACACAATAATAATTGGAACTGACGATGGGCAAAACTGCCAAGGGAAAAATATAGAATATTATTAGTAGGGTCATTCTATGCCAAATCGTCCAGCGTTTTTCGACCATCACTGAATATGACTGAAAAAATTTCCACATGCTTCTCAAAGTTCGAAACTCGCCCTGCTTGTTTATTTTCATTTCCAAAAATTTTACTGCCTATTGACTGGTTTCGTGCCAGCTGAGCTAGAGAGGGTCAAACAACAACTTTTTTTCAAAAGATTTTTTTCATGCACTCAATAAAATGATATTTGCGGCAATGTAATGAAGTGATCTAGTTGTAAAAATGACTTGCTTATGTATATCACCTCTTTGGGGGCTTTTTGCACGAGCAATATTGAATAATGTTGCAAAATTGGGGATTTTTTTCCGGGAACATGGCAGGCTCGAAGGGCACAAATAAAGTATGTACTGGGGGCATGTTTGACATGCTACAAATTAAAAATAATTTAGGAGCTGAAGTTATAGCAGATGGCCTGAAAAAAAATTGCGAAGTTCACTTTTGGGGGAAAAGCATTGTATTCAGCGTCAATAAAGTTGCCTTGGTGGTTGGACTAATAATATGCACGACATCTCATTTTAAAACCCCATGTATTATCTAAAAATAGAAGTTACTAGAGGCTATTATTATTTTAAACTTCTGAAATATCTTTTTAAAATGGTGTATTTCTGCCAGCCTTTCGCATATGTAACTCGAGCAGCATGACGCCCTTGCAAGGGCAGTCTTAGCCTAAGGCCACTGACCTGGGATACATACAGCAAATTTGGTGCTCTCTGCAGAGCAATAGAAGTGGGAATGGGGTTATCATCTGCAATCTTGTGCAAACAGAGGTGCACTACAGTGAATGTGGCCAGAATCATGTTGCTTGAGTTGTGTAGGCAAAGAGCTGGTGGAGATACATAACTTCAAAAAAAAATATTTCTGAAGTTTAAAAATAATACCCTCAAACAACTTTACCAATTATTAGCTAATACATGGGGCTTTCATATGAGATATTGTGCACCTTATTATTCCGATCACCAAGGTAAATTTTTTGGTGCCGAATACAGAGCTTTTCCCAAAAAAGTGAAGTTCACAATTTTTTTTTTTTTTTTTCAGACTACAGTCGAACCCCTTTGTAAGAGATGCTGATATAAGAGAAAAATGAGTATAAAAGACACCAGTATGTCTACAGCAAACTACAAGGTCCCCTGCTTATAAGAGTATCTGCTATAACTTCAGTTCCTAAATTATTTTTAATTTGTAGCATGTCAAACAGGCCACCAGCACATATTTTTTTTTGTGTGTCCATTGACCTTGCCATGTTCCTGAAAAAAAAATAAATTTGGCAACATTACTCAATATTGTTTGTGGGAAAAGCCCACGAAGAATTGATACACATAAGTATTTTTACAGATAGATCACTTCATTACCTTGCCACAAATACTAGTTTATTGATGCATCGAAAAAACTTTTTTTGAAAAAAAATGATTGACGCCCTCTAGCTCAGTCGGCGCCAAACTACAGACTCTCATAAATAGGGCGAAAACTTTTTGGCAATGGAAATAAATGACCAAGACAAGTTTCGCACTTCAAGAAACCTATGAAACAGCCATATTTGTGATGGTCGCAAAAACACTGGATGATTTGGCATGGAATGACCCAGTAGTAAGTTTAATACAAATGTAAAAAAAAGAAAAGTGGTCCAAAAGAGAACTTGCTGCGGTCAGGGACAGAACCAGTGACCTTCGAATAATGTGTTAAATGACCATCAGACACATTATTTGAAGGTTGCAGGTTCGGTCCCTGCCGGCAATAAGTTATCTTTTTGTCCACTTTTATTTCTTCAAATTTACATTGCATTTACTACTAACATCAGCTGTACTTTCTTTGGCATTATTGTCTGTTACTCGTCGATGTTATTTTAATAGTGTAGCTTTGGAGAAGTATCCTTAGTTCGAAATGCATGGAGCTCGGGCCTTATACTGGGCATTTGTGACCAGCAGTAGCTGGCCCTGCAGCTTGTAGCCGGCCCAGACTCTGTACCGAAGCTCACTGCTGTCGTGGTTGGGGGCCTTCAGTGGGGATTGCCAGCAACTTCCTACTACATGTTGAAAGGACCCACATTCTTTGTAGAAGTGGCATTTCAAAGGGAAGTCTGTAGGGTGTATATGGCAGTCTCTGGTTACGTGTGTGAATGTGTTGACCTAAACACTTGGGAGTGATCTTTCCTTCTTTCTCAGAGAGCAGGGACAATCACTCTCTTTAAAGCAAGTTTCAGCTGATGTTCTCTGTTCTGTGCTTTTCTCGGTTTTTTTTATATGCATGCAAGTAGCATTATTCGAAGTTGCGTTATTTTTCCCGTTCGTGTGGTGTCTGCCTGACTTACCACTGGGATGTTTCCATATCTTCAGGATGGCACTTTTCTACGGCAGAAGCCATTGGCCAGCAGTTCTGCCCAGCGCCGTAGTGCACCACCCCAGCGCAAGTCTTGGGGGCTCACTGGCTCTGAAGCCGACTTAGCTGTTAGCAGCGATCTGGCTTGTGGCTCCGAGGAGACTGCCAGTGTTTTGTCAGACACCAGCACAGAGCCGTCGTCCCACAGCTCGGGCTCCAGGGGTGGCCCGCAGATGAAGCTGAACCGAGCCTTTGCTCTGAGGAGGGCACGGCTGGGGCTACCAGAGGTGGGCGGTCTTCCTCCTGCGTCCGCAGCACCTCCACGTGGGAAGACTCCTCACCATGGCAGCAATCCCAACCTCTCAAGGCAAGATGGCGGCCGCTTCAGCCTCCGGCTGCCCCGTGGAGTCAGAGCCACGGATGTGGGCGTTACGAGGGCAGAACTTCTTCGTGGAAAAGTGAGTGAATCAAAGAGGACTGTGCAATGTACAAATGGAGAAAGTTAAATTAACTTAGCAATGGTACTTAGCATGAGGTAATGCTGAGATGTGACAAAGCACAGCAACTATTACATTTAAGGCAATTCATAAAAAGCACAACTGCCAGTTTTGCTTTATTTGAACTCTTAATGAACAGAAATCTCTTAGATGGAACTGCTGCTTACTGAACAACTGCTTCTAATATAGTTGGTTTTGCGCTTTAATTCAGCTTCCCTGTTCGTCTCTCGGCAAGCAGCAACCCCGTTACATGGATACTATTTTCCTGGTCCCTTCAGGCTTCGTTTATTGGCAGTTCACGTACTTTGCTTTGTGCAAGTTAACACGACGTGCTAATGAGCTAGGTCGCAGGTTTGGTCCCGGCCGTGGCGGTCGCATTTCGACGGAGGCGAATTGGTAGAGGCTTGTGTACTGGGGGTGCAATGTCGGTGCATCTTAAAGAAAATGAAATGGTCGAAATTTCCGGACCTCTCCACTACAGGCATCTCTCATAATCATATTGTGGCTTTGGGATTTAAAACCTGGAATATTATTAACTTAGCCAGTACTAAAGGTAATGATGAACATGAGCACTCAAGAAGAGTGCTGTACCAGTCTTTTGTGTGTACATGTCCGCCGAAACCTGCTAGTGCTTGTTAACTTGCAGTGTGAGGTATAGATAGAAGAGGATGCATGCCAAGTGTGGATCAATCTGATTTTGTGCTAGTTTTTATGTGAGCGCCCGTGTGCATGTGTTGCAGTGACCGAGGAACGGGTAACAAGTGGCCACTCAGACGTCGGGGAAGAACTCTTTCAAGGCTCTTTATGTAGAAGAGCGCACAGTTTATTTACATATTTACAGGTGTGACCAAACTAGGCGTGTAGACGCGCCTTTACACCAGAGACAACTGGCCGAAACAAAAGCCAGAGAGAGAGCCCCGGCGCACTCTCGATGCGCTCCTTTTATAGCTTGGGTCTGTGCACGCACTTCTTCTGAAATGTGGGACGCGAACCATGTATCACTGGCACGCCAGTGCACGCTTCTTGAAGTGCACTTGGAAGAGTTCTCGCGTTTTTGTGGGAAGCAGACAGTGTTGTCGTCGACGCCGGCCTCGTAAGAACGGTCAGCTGATGGGTGTTCCTTGCTGGTTGGATCCTTGCTTTGAGGGTTATAAGAGTGTGTTTGCGAGTGTGGGATACACTTCTCACTAGAATGAACTTTTGAGTGAACGATTATCATGTGTAGCATTTCTTTGACAAATTTGAAGAAAGCCTGAATTTTAAAGGGCCCCTCGCGAGGTCGCATAATAAATTGCAGTTAGATACTAGAAGTGGTCGCATGCCCAGGAAAGAGCGTTATATCAGAGCTTCTAAAAGTAGTTTATTATAAGCTGAAAATATTTGGCATGTGCGAATATTGGAGCATTTTGAATGTTCGAATGAATATCACATTATTTGAATTCATTTCGAGACAAACTTAAATTTTAAATTTCGAAGTACTGTATTTACTCGTGCAACGAATGCACTTTTTTTTCTTTAAAAATTGGAGCAAAATTGGGGATCCATTTATTATGTGGAGAAAATTTTATGAAAACTTTTTCGGTATGAGCAAAAAAAAAATGCGGCAATTCAAAAAAAAATTTTACGTCAGTCAGCTTCATTGTAGCACTTCACTCATCTTCGGTGGTTGAAGGCGCTATCTTCTGCAAGCTGTTCCCCCGCCGCCTGTGCACATTATTAAAGCGTTTCGCAGCTATCTTCTCTCGCAATGGTTAAACCGCAACAGTGGTATCTGCTGTGATCTTGAGGGGCGCCCAGAAGCGTGCGCTACTACACCACGACTCACTTAGCCAACTTCATGGAAACCTCGCACAACGACCGTTACGACGCTGTTGACATAGTAGCAAGCAACCAATATTGCAGCAAGCCACCACCAAAGCATCAAAACAAACCTTCAATAACAAAGTTAACGACAAAATATGGCAGCTGCCTTGCTTGCAACCGAAGTGAAAATCGGCGACCGCGTTGCGGAAATAGTATCAATCTTTTCTGGGCAACAAGCGATTTCTTTCTGGTTTTCTAGAAACCTGAGATGCGGATGCGATGGGGACGAATGGCTGCTCGCGACAGCTATAGCGACAGTAGATTCTGTCATCGTCGCTCGAAAATTGTGTGCATGCGGTTGGGCCTTGAAGTTTCATATTCGCAGGAAGCGACCTATCGGTTGGCGCGGGCAGTTTCGTGAACTTCGCTCGCTGTGTGCTTGTCAGCTGCGATGTCTCTACTCTCGCACCGTTTGCGAGCCCTGCTGTGGCAGATAGATGTTTTAAAAAGACTGTGTACGTGCCGCGCACAGATAGAAAGAAAAACTATGTTGGTGCACGGCAGCGGGCGAAGGGGGGAGGGAGCGAGCCGAGGTGGCCGAGAGGGATCGGCATAATAATAAAAAACGGATGAGATTCAACAGGCAAAGAGGTGCCAGGTGTCGGTTAGCGGTACTGCAGCGGACGAATGTAGAGAGTGCGTTTATTAGGTGGGGAAAAAAATATAAATTTTGACGACTGATGTTGGGGGTGGGTTTATTGTGCGAGTGCTTTCATTACGCGAGTAAATACGGTATTCGAAATGAACGCATAAAACCGCATGTATCTCTTTTGTAAAGGATGTTTCACTGCGGTCGAGTACGCCTCTCCAGGAAAAATTTGCACTGCCACAAAGCCCTACTTCTATTAAAACATATTATGCTTGCATTGAATCGTCATCTTAAAGTTTAAAAGCTTGTTATACCAGCTTATATGCTCACAGTGTAGTAAATTCTGAAATGTAACTTACTTTGCAGGATATCACTTGCATTCTACCAAAAATCAATTCCTGTTACTACAGTCGATCCCGGATATATCAAACTCGAAGGGGATCCGAGAAGTAGTTCGATATATCGAGAATTCGAAATACAAAATATGCTTATTTAAGGCCTAAATTGAAGCATTTGAGGCCTCAAAGATTCGTTACAAGAGCTAACATAACGATTCACTCACAGTATAATGAAAAACAAGGTGTGAACTGCAGAGTTACCACATTTTATTTCACATGAAAATAGTCTATAAACTTGTGTTGCTTCTTGTGCGCCGTCAAGTTCTAGTCATTCTCAGTATCACTTAAGCTTTTCAAATAAGCGAATTTAGCTCCTTCGGCCACAACAACGTTGGCCGACTCAAAACGCTAATGCAAGCTTTGTAGCGCAGCAAAAGGTTGGTTAGCGGCGGCAGCGAAGGTGTTGGCACATTCATAACCGCACGGCTACACTTCCATGGCACCGGCAGCGTCAGCCAAAATCTCAGGCATCGATGCAGTCGGAAAACAGCTACGTCATCTGTACCGATAAAGTTGCTCACTGTCAGAGATGGGGCCTGGAAACACTAAGTCACAGAATTGATCGAGGCGCTGTACACGATCGTGAGCGGTCATGACGCACCCAAAGGCGTCACCAGGTTCGCAAGAAACATTTACGATGGTGTTTTACTTGACGTTGCTGCAAGTGCCAGTCATAATTTTTATTTCTACGTCCGGGTGAATGTTCAGTTGAACTCTCGAATGAGGAGTTATCAGAAACAAGGTGGGAAGTACACAAGACCACAAGTCTTAAAAGACAACGTGAAAGCTGCAACGTTTGTGCGGGCACGGTATCATAAACCAGTACCACATTAGACACGAGAGGATAAATAAGCATGTCGAGTGCTGGAACACGGTAGAAAATTAGTGTTGTTATGCGAGTTGGTGCCTGCACAAATAGAAGTGGCATAAACGTGAATGCATGCAAAACGGACACAGATTAAACTTGCATCTTAATTCGATTTAAAGTAAGATACATAAATAAATGGAAATGTGCACACATTCTGTTTTGTGTTTTATTATTTGCCTCAACTTTATTCGTTTATTCCATCATCAGATTACATAAACGACACATCTTGTGTGTACTAATTGTTAACGTGTCATGTGCTACTGTAAGCAATGTAGGAGCACTGATGTCTACATAAATGATCAACATCAAAGCACAGTTAACTATGTAGGCCAATTCCTTGTACATCACACCCTTCATCAGGGTGTAAGTGAGGTTCAATTTGAAAATGATTTCTTTTCGTGGCATGTAGTGTTGCAAATCTTGGCAGACATGATTGGGAGCGCCCAATTTATGCATTGAGTTGGTCAGCTCGAAATGCTCAGTTCTGGTGAGGGGCCCTTTAATATGATGTTCAACTTCTGTGCGTCTAGTTATGAAGCATTAGTAACAGAGGTACACCTCTGTCTCTCTGACTTCTGCAGTGTAAAGCCATGTGGTGAATACTTGCTCACTTTTATGTCTTGTTCACTATAACAGTTTAGAGTTTTGTTTTATTATTCATTCAGCCTTAGGTAATGGAGGTCTTAGTCAATTGTGTCCTTCACCTTCTAAAAGTTACTTGCCATGCATGGCTTTTTTTTTCCTTCAGATGAATGCTTTTGTGCAGCCAAGGCTTAGCATCTACATTCATGTGTTCTGGTTGCATATGGTTAAAAAGAAATGTTTCTTGCAGGCCCACCACCAACGCACCGACAGCGATCCGACAGCTGCCTAGTCGTTCACAGCAGCACTCGGTGTCTGACGGAGAAAGTCGGCACCACTCTCCCGCGAGTTCAGAGGAAGCAGGCGTCTGGCAAGTCGTACATTTCGGACGGAGACGAAGATGCCCGGACAGGATCTCCAGTCCAGTTCGGTCGTTCGGCCTCCTTTGGCGGCCACCGTGACCTTGCGCTTGCACCGGCTGCATCCGACCGGCAGCACAAGGGTCGCTCTGCAGCGGTCCCGAATACTGGCAGCTCACTGTCGCGTGGTGAAACATTCCTCAAGGGAAGTGCAGGAGCCAGTGGCACCACGTTTGTCCGAAGCGGCCGTAAGCTGGAGAGGCAGTCTGGTGATGGAGAGGTGGGCGTTGTTTGTGCTTAGCATGTAGAGGGGTGTTTATATCTTAACGTGCGATGATCATACCTCAAAGATAAGTGAATATCAGTATAGGATACACCCGTTTGCTAATTGCATTAGTTAGTAACGTTGCTCAGTTGGGCGAGTTGGAACAAGTCAACCATAATCTAGTGCAGTACAAAAAACAGACAAATGTTTGTTTGTTGCTTGTTTTTTGCACTGCACTACATTACGATTACATTAGTTAAAGGAGACCAGGTGCCTGAAGAGCTGGCGTGTTGTGTTGTAAAAATGAACTTTTGTACATAAACTATAACTATGTGCCCCCCTCCCCTTTTTCGTGCCTTGATTCCCATGTGTTATACTTTGTCATTTAGGGAATTGGGAGGGAAGGGGGCATAAAGGGAGATGGAACAAGTGCAAGAGAGCCTTGTCAGCTCTTGATGCATTGAATTTGTGGCTATTTCATTTGAATGCGAAACATAACATGCGGGAGTCTTGATTCTTGGCGTCTGTGTGGCTCACATGCAACGTAATTTGCTAGTAAAATATGCACTCATTGGGATTGAGAGTGGCTGAGACAGCTGCATGGGACAATATCTGATATTTAATTATGCAGTAGTCAGTTTTCACTTTATTTGGATTCAACATGAATCTCTCCACTCAATATGCAGCAACTTGTTGCATCCTGATAGTGTGCCTGAATTTTATTTAAGCGAATTGCCTCTTATCGAGGGAGCTACATAGAGATCATGTCGTGCTTTCTTTTTTTCAACTGTTATGATGAGCAGTCGGGCTATGCTTTGTTTTCCGTGATCCTCCTTCAAAGTGCTGTACATTGCAAAGGAAATTGTGCGCGCTTTTCTATTTGATCTCTAGGTGCTCTGAAATTCTTTATGCTTGCATATGCTGGTGATGTACAAGTGTTGAGAAACCAAATACACTTGACTCTCATTAATTCAAGCTCGTAGGAACCTCTGAATTTTGTTTTAATTATCAAGAAGTTTGAATTATTAGTTCTCACTCAGATAGATGACACTGGGTGAGGTGACACCACACATTATGATTAAGCATCGATTTTATCACATTTAAAAATTTCTAAAGTGTTTTTAAACACTTAGCTCCACACAATGAAGGCAAAGCAGAGGTGTAAGGTCCACGAGTTTCTTGGTCATTTACTGCTGGTCAGACCTTTTAAAGAAATATCGAGTCAACAACTGTTTCTTTGCTATAGGTATGTGCCTTCAGCACAAAGCTCTCTCGTAACAGTGGAGAAGCATGGCGGTTTACCATGCATGTGCATTGTTTCAAACATTTGTTCACTAGAAAAGCCTTTTTTCTTAAAAGACTGAGGTGCTTATTTTCAATTTTTAGACTGTTAAAATTAAATAAGCAAACATACTTTTCAAAAAGTAGTGGGAAAGCAGCAGATGTTTTCTGGTATGGAACTGCAAAAAAGTATGAATTAGCCAAATGATAGTTTGAATTAAGAGGCTTTTTAAATGCAGCCAAACTCGTTTATAACGAACTTTAAATGTGTCACGATAAATGGTCATTACATCAATATTTCTCAGTAGTTCGTTGTATATGGACCCGCCCATAAAAACGTCCCCTTAGTGGCCAAACCCCTTCTTTTTTTCTGTGTATTTTTATTCAAAAGTGCAAACAACCCCTCCGCTGACAATTTTGGCCTCTTCGCATTTTAAACGACGCCTGTTTGCTCACGAGTGAATTCAACCCTTGTTAGCGATAAACTCTTGCCGTTCCACTGTGGTTCTACTGTGCTTCCACTGAAGCGCGATATCGCCATGTTGAACCAATCGCCACTGTCTAGTTGCTTGCAGCACGTCGCTTACTCAGCTTCTGTCGTCGCATGCCAGTTTGCTTAATCCAACGCATGCACACGTTTCTGCTTTTCTCATGCATGCTTCACTCGGGATCATATAGGGTGTGGCAAGTAGCCTGTTAACACAAAGAATTTTGAGAGCAACGCGCGTAAGTGGCCTCACATGATGCAACAGTGGTAGCAAGCTTGCGAACAGCAGTATGACATGCTTGTATGGCTGAGCAGCTATCAGCAGATGACTGTGATGAGGTTGAGGGCAATGAGTCAGTGGCATGTTCACCGCCACTGGCCACCTGGCCATCGCTCTTTTCTGATGCTTATTCATTAAGGCACCACTGCACACGCACGGTACTCATTATCACTTATTGTCCGGTCTCTGCCATTACCGAAAGATGAAAAACCTTTTGCAACACATTGTGATGTCAGCGAGTTGAGCTTTGCACTTAACTTAATGTCACAAAAGTTATCACCTTTTAAATTTATGGCATCTTGCGTTCAAATTCAGGCATTGTTGATTAATAGTCGTTGGTCGTAGATGCCGAGAGCGGCGTCAGAAAAGTTTGCAGTGCGACAGCTAACCCAGAGCCTTTATTCTGTCTTCTACTTCTTTTTGTGTTTTTTTCCCTCACCTCCATTCTGTCGGTGAAGAAACGTCTGGAAAGAGAGCGACCTCGTGCGCAGCGTCCGAAATCTGCGTGCGGTTTTTGTCGCGGTCTACGATATCTTCACCGCATGTAAACTGCAGTGGGGCACACGCGAGCGTGCACCTATGCTTTAGAATGCCTTTTTTGTACATTTTTCTTGCTTCATATGCGCCATATTTTTACCGCGACCGTGTCGAACGTATTTGTTGTAGAAGTAGAGGCTTAAAAAAAATAATCGCTATGTGTGGACTCGTTTTCAAAGGATTGCATAGGAAAATCGTAAGTGCACCGAAATACGGTCGTTATAACCGATAGATTGTTATAAGTGGGTTTGACTGTACAGTGAAAAAAGTAGAGGGCCAACCAAAAAATTAAATTTTGTTTGAATTTACCGAAAGTATGAATTACCAGAGTTTGAATTATCGCGAGTTTACTCTAGATTATTAGAAAGACTGATGTCCCAAAACAACGGCAGTCATGCACTGCTCTCTCTGGTGGTGTTACTGTCTAGATCTGTGTTGATTGAAAGGACCTACGCTACTAGCACAATGGTTTCTGTAATTGTTGAAACAGTTAAGGGCTCATTAAAGTTGAAAGTTGTGCTGTGACACAACTTTCAGATAAATTACCTGTATAATTCTGGCGATTTTTTTCACTGTTTGTGCAGAGCAAAACACCAACAGAAAATGGCGTCAAGACTCCATCCACAACACCAGGCAGGAGAGAGCTGTCGGCATTGGACAGCCTCGTGATCTCTGCCATCCACCAGCTGTCGGGAAAACTGCGCACTAGTGCCCGCACCCTCATCGAGAAGGAAAGGTAAGGGCAGCGAAAATTCTTTTCTTCTTTGGTCGTTGTTTCCAACCTTTGCTTCTTTTGTTGACTTCATGCAGGCTGAAGTATCCCGAGAACAGTGATGTCCGGCTCATGTTAGAAGAGGTTCTTCCAAGGGTTGTCGAGAGGCGACCCAGCGACTCGCCGACAGATGGCAACCTGACGAGAGAGCTTTCAAGCATCCTGAAGAACCTCAAAAGGATCGAACAATGCCTTGAAGGTGACTCTTTATACTTCTAGCTCTATTTTGAACAACAGGCCCCGCCGCGGTGGTCTAGTGGCTAAGGTACTCGGCTGCTGACCCGCAGGTCGCGGGATCGAATCCCGGCTGCGGCGGCTGCATTTCCGATGGAGGCGGAAATGTTGTAGGCCCGTGTGCTCAGATTTGGGTGCACGTTAAAGAACCCCAGGTGGTCGAAATTTCCGGAGCCCTCCACTACGGCGTCTCTCATAATCATATGGTGGTTTTGGGACGTTAGACCCCACAAATCAATCATATTTTGAACAACAGTGCCACTTCACAACATTTAGCCAGAATAGGCTATGCCAGTTTGATGTAACATTTTGGCATTTCGGCAGATATAGGCTGTTATAAATTACCAGTGCCTGGCAACTGTTGCTGACTTGGCTGAATATGGAGGGCGGTCCAGAAAAACCTGCTAAGTTAACTGTAATTGTATAAGGGCTTTGCGACTTCACCCTGTCATTTTAGAAGGCATAGAAATTTAGCGATGATGACACCCATAGTACTGCTGACTTGACTCGGCTTACTATTTTGCTTTCCTACTAGTGCTGAACTCTTTGGCCCCGTGTGAACGTGACAGTTCGTCGGATGTCGTCCTGGAGACCACAACCAAAACCACACCCGCTGCTCAGAAGCCGAGGGGTGGCTTTTTCTATGTGGATGTCTGAGAAGTCTAGGTGTGCTAGACATCATCTGGCTACACCTGTTGGCATCGACCATGTGTGTTAGTGGACAGGCATTGGCCTGTCCATACAGGTTACGCTGGGTTTTGTGGGATCACACAATGCTACGCTAACTCTAGTTTGCCTCGCATCCGTTCTTTTACAATTAATTTCTATCTTCCTAGCTTTGTTAGCATGAGGTCAGTTCCATGACATTTCACTGCAAGCGCTTGTGCTAGCGAAACATCTGTCATTCAAGAATCTGAAGGATTTTGCTCAATGTCCGCAATATGCCTATTGAGTACTACTGTTCTTCAATAATAGGGTTTGTTTGTGCACATTCTAGAAGGTTATTTTATACATTACTTGTGTTCATTTTTTAACTGAGTAAGGGCGTGCACACAGACACACTAGAACAAAAAAATACACACAACAAAAGCGCAGTTAAACGTTCACGCCCGTCGACTTCTGACTATGGTTTTAACAAGGCTAGTCTAAGATGAACCAATACCAACTAGCCGAACTATCCGTGCTACTGCAGTTATTTTTGTTCCTATTTTTGTTGGGGGTGTGAAGTAGAGCCTCGATAATTTGGGACCTCTCAATAAGCAATCTCTCATAGCAGTATTACTGTTATCCCTAAGCTTTACCATTTATGTGAATACAGAATTTGAGCAACAACCCTGCTGCTTAGTAGGTGATAATCTTCGGCCACAGCAGCAGCACTTCTATTCTTGAAGGCTTGGCAGGCCGTGTACAAATTCATGTCCTAGTGATGGCTCATTCTCGGTAATGTAAGGAGAACTCAAAGGCAATGCTAATATTAGGTGCATGGTCTGGAAATGGTTTTAAGAGCCAGTGATTGGTCATAGCAGCTTCGTGCTGTGGTCTGGCTTAACAGGTCAGAGTTATTAACAAACCGCCTTGAACAGCTCATGGGGGGAGAAAAAAAGTGCCAAAACCATGATCCGATAAGAAGGCACACTGTAGCAATGGACCACTGTACAATTTCGACCTACTGAGATTTATTTAATGTGCTCCTAAAGCTGTACCCCATCTTGCACGTAACTTGGAAAACTACCTAAGCTAACAGGTGTGCAAGCCATATACTGGCGCAGCTGACATAGTGCCAGATCTAAGTGCCTAGTTATTAGCCAGATGGAGAGCTGCAGATTCGTTCAGTGTGTGCTGGGTTACAGCAATACACAATGCATTAGATCTTTTCTGCGTGTACTTTGTTTAAACTATAATGTTGCGATTACTGCCAGGAACTGCGATTACATAGCACCATGACCGCCCACTTCAATCTGAACCCGTGCTTGCTGCATGCCCGCTTCTTGCCCAGACAGCAAAAAGCAGGTGGGTAATGAAACCATTGCTTTGTCAACTTGCAGCTTAGGACAAAGCATCAGGTATTCTTGATTTATTGAGATGAGCTGCTGCTTTTGATGCTGCTAGGCATACTGAGGCGATGCTCAGTCGTAAAAGCTGTTTTAACCACAAGTTCTAGCACAGTGCTAGAACTTGTGATTTGTTGATGATGGGGAACACTCTTAAAACTGCACTATTTACTGCATCACCATCCTGCTCTAATATGATAGGTTGTAATCATTGGATATAAACGTCAGCTGGATGCTGAACAGATAATTTCACACTGGCGACTTGGAATGCTGGCTAAAAGGGCTGTAAGATACAGCAGAGGAAGATACAGCAAAGCCTCATTACCGCATTCTTATAAGCTCTGCTAAGGATTACTGCATCAAAACATTATTTGCATAAATGCACTAGGAGCACGGTGAAGAGATGTTGAACAAACGCGGAACAGATGCTTACATCACGAGGAGCATTTGCTCTTGGTATTAGCTAAGGAGTCCTGCAGCTCCCACAGCACTGAAAGGGAGTTGGATAGTTCGGAGATCTTGGATAGTTGGGAGATGGGCACTTAAATGGGCGTTTTTTAATTGAAGTGTGGCTGCTATTGCTAGTATTGGAGCTAGTGACCTTGAGCTTGGCAACTCGTTGTAGCCACCATTTCAGGCTCTAAAGGTGTGTGACCTGTGTACATCTTATGGCTTGCTTTAGCATTTTTGTTTTCTGCTATTATGGAATATCGCTTGACATCGTCTTTGGTCGGGAAGGCTTCAAATCGACGAGGTCTTGCTCGACTTTTCTACATCTCGATTGCTTGTAAACAGATATGCAAGCAGTCGTAGTCATTTCTATGCCGAAGCAGCTACTTGTACAAAAAGACTAACCGTGTCCACTGTTGTTAAGCATGAAGTCCATACTTGCAATGAACATTTATCCTGTTTTTGTTCTTTTTTTTTTGTTCACAGGCTGAACTTGCAGAGTAAGTCTTGTTCTTCGCCTTGTACATAGACTTGTAAATGAGAAGGCACTGCTTTGTGATACTTTAAGAGGGCGAGTGTTCTGTGATGCATGTGTTGACAGTATACATAATGCAATGTACATTGCTGTTGATATTATATAGAAATATCTCTTATAGCATCTTACGCCTTCTTTTTTTCTTCAAGGAGCGAGCTTGAAATACTAAAGAGTGCTTCGAGACAAATCCTCATCAGGAAGAGGGGATTTAATGTCTCAAAGTGTAACTGCAAGGGCAGCTGTCTAAAAACTGGCGCACTTCTTTTTCTTTCCTTTTTTCTTCCTGAAGATTGCTGATGTTATACCGTTTGATTCATACAATTAAAAGTCTTCCGAATCTGCGTTACAGAATTGTGGATTTCTGTCTTGGTGGGAAGTATGACTCTTAAAGAGGCCCTGAAACACTTCTGTACAGCAAAAGCTGTTATGAGGTCACAACATGGTTCACGTGCGGTGCCGTAGTTGTCCACCGCTGCGTCTCTGCTGATGTCCGTAACCACTATCACAAGAAATAAGAAAACATCTCTGTAAAAAAAAAAATACAAAGGACACAATGGAATTCGAACGCAGGTCCCCTGCGTGCCAGCGCAGTATTCTACCACCCAGTCACACAGTTTTTTTTCTTTATTTGACCAGTGAGCCACACTGGTGTTTGAAAATAGTTTCCAAACTGGCCTTAGGCAGGCTTGATGTCCGGAAAGGAATCGTGTTAATGTGATTAATAAAGAATTTCAGAACATCAAAGGATCAACCAGGCATCACACATTGTGAATTGTGCAACGAGCGGGTCATTACAAAACAAAAGGTTGTTCTTCATCACTTCTTACCTGTGGCACATGCCCACTCCAGGCATAATTCTTCAGGCATAAAAATTGTCAGATCCCACGTACAGTGGGAATCGAGCATATGCGAAGCACGAACGAGGAAGGTTAATAGGTCACTTCAAAATTGGCACAACATTACAAGAAAGAGGTAAGTTATGCCGTACATGACTTCCATGTCATAATTATCATGGTTGGACATTTCATTTACCTTAGTCATCTACTAATGTCACCTGACACCAACTGGTACTTATGGAGCTAGCGAAACGGCTGCGAGCGTGCTATAGGCATGGCATGTAATCATGTTTACATGACATCTATATCATGATTATCATGTTTGGGCATGTCATTTACATTTATCATCCATTCACCTCATTTATCATCCATTCACCTCATTTATCGTCCATTCACGTCACTGGTATATGTGGAACTAGTGAAACGGCTGTGAGAACGCTTCGAGCGTAGCATGTAGTCATATTTCACATGAAAAGCTTATGATTATTAAGTTTGGACCTCTCATTTATCATCTATTAAGTTACGGTGATACCAAATTCGGTACATGTGAAGCTAGCGAAATGGCGGCGAGCGCGTCATGAAGGGCCCAATATACTCTGATGCAACGTTGACGAACGCGCAGGCTGAGCGCAGCGACGCCACGCTAGCAAAACGCCAGCACTCGATAGTCTGACTCAAGGCCCGATCGGCGCGACCAGCATCCATCAGCATGGCCTCGTGGCAACCAGCCCGAAATGCGACATGCTATGTTTCGCGCCGACTGACACATAGACAGCACCGCGTCTGCCTCTCTTTCGTGACAGAGGGACACTGTGTGCGCTCAAACGCGCATGCGTCAAAGCAACGCAGCGCGGGCCTGCGAGTACATGGCAGGCAGATCCGCAATGGAGTGGCAGATCCACTGATTTCTACTAGGGGGATATCGGCGCCTGGCGTGGCATTGTCAGCTGTGACATGATGAAATGAACGCCAGGCGCGCATGCGCACAGGGTCACGTCGAAGTGCATTGGCGCTTGAGTGTGGCATGAAGTAATGTTCTTACATGACAGGCATCTCGCGATTATCATGTTTGCACCCGTCACATACCTTCGTCAACCATTCACGTAACGTAATACAAAATTTTGGCATATGTGAAGGTAGCGAAACGGCCGCGAGCGCATCATGCGTATGGGACGTAGTCATGTTGTTACATGACACGCATGTCATGATCATCATGTTTGGACGTGTCTTTACCTAGGTCGTTCGTTCGCTCCACATAATACCGAATTTGATACATGTGAAGCTAGCAAAACGGCCGCAAGCGCATAATGAGCGTGGCATGTAGTCATGTTACATGACACCCATTTCGTGATTATCATGTTTGCACCAGTCACATACCTTCGTCATTCATTCACGTCCCGTAATACCAAATTTGGTATATGCAAAGCGTGCGAAACGGCTGCGAGTACATGAGTGTGGCATGTAGTCGTGTTGTTACATGACAAGCATGTCATGATTTTCATGTTAGGGTCTGTCACTTGTGTTCGCCATGCAGTCATGTTATACTATACCAGTTTTGCGACATGTAATGTGAAAGAAACCACCGAAAGAGCAGCAAGATCGTGAAATGTAAACATGTCATGATTTTCATGTTATGACAAGTCAGTTATGTTCTTCATACAGTAATGTTGTGCCATACCAAGTTTGGTATGGATACCATTATCCAAATGATAGATAGATGGATAGATATAGAGATAGATAAATATAGATATATAGATATAGATTGATTGATAGACAGGACAGACAGCTGAGATACGCTCAAAGTCGCTGAAGTTCGCCAACAAATGCCTCGCATTTAATGATTGTGTAGCAGATACCACGCTTCTCCAAAGAATGATGAAGGATAGGATTGTGAATGCCGGCCAAGAAAAAGGATTTAAAAAACCGCTCTTCCAGCTTTCACTGCGACTCTGCTGCGCGTTCCGTGCAGGCCTGGCGTTTTTCGAGCTTGTTCAGAAAATGCTTCCGATCAGTAGTTAAGGCTCCCGAAAACACGCGAGCCAAATATTGTAGCATCAGTGCGTGGCTTAGAACAGTCGGCTAAAAATAGCTATTCTTCTCGCTACAAATGAGGCTACAGGCTGAAAAATTGCATCGAATATCGAATATCGGCTGTTGGCCGATTTGAGCATGGCATGCTAGATTGTTTCTGGGGCCACCACAGGAGCTGATAACCTGCCATTTACATTCATTGCTAGAAGCTGCACTGCACACAGACTTCTGAATTTGTTAGTTTAAATGATGTCTGCAATGTGTGAGAAACTGCTTACTGCATTTCCAAGGTGTGTGGATAAATATCTGAACTTTTGAAGAACTTCTGCCTTAATCTACTTTCAACAGACATTCATTATTATCGCGTGCCTATTTCCCCACAGCAGGTAGAAGGCCCCTCCTAGTGATCTTCAACCCACCTTGCTTTGTGCTAGCGAATTCCATTTCATGCGTCCAAATTTCTTTTGGTGCTCCACCTAAACCTTTGCTCTCCGCGATCACACTTACCATCTCTTCTGATGTTCTGACATTTGGTGATCTGTTCTGATGATGTAGCCTGCCTGGGTCCACTTCTTCCTCTCAATGCTCATTTACAAGAATGCCGGTTTGTTGTTTGTTCTCGGATCTATTTTGCTGTTATTTTATACCTCTTAGTGCTTCGTCTATCATTCTTCATTCTATCGTACACTGGGTGGTCCTAGATTCTTTGAGTGCAGCTTTTAAGCACTTGTTGCTGTGATGAGAAGCGTCGCCATTGCCGTAATTGATCGAGTGAACGCGATGTCTTGATATCGTAAGCCACTTGGCCCGAGCCTCGCTTTCTTCTTCCATCATGCACTTAAGCTTGTCTGCATGCAGGGATGGCACTACTGCGGCTGGCTTCACTTGTAACGGGGCTGAGTGTTTCACTTGGTTTACGACGCCTGCTAGGCAGAAAGTAGTGTGTGCTACACTCGAGCGCTGGCAATTACTATGGAAATATGCAATGCATGTTGCATTGCTGCAATTGCGGATAGCTTAAACTACAAACATAATTGGTGTTGCCCCAAGACAAAGTTGCACTCACAATTCGCATTAGGCAGTATTGTAATCATAGGTGAATTTTTCGTTTTAGATGTGAAGCATCTAAGCGTGCGCTTGATCCGGTGGCATCCACACTCCACTGCGCATGTGTAACCTCCCCCTCTCTCTTCTCTAAGCATCCCTCTTTGTGGCACTAACACCCACATTGCACGTGTGCATCCCCTCGCAAAGTGTCTGCAAACCTATGTTCACTCCCCTGTTTTCTAGGCATCCCTCCCTGTGGCGTTTACACCCTCTTTGCTTACACCCCTCTCTCGCCTCGGAACAGTGACACAGACAGCGTCTGCTAGTGAGTTTCTTAATTGAAAGAACCGACTGCACACACTGCACAACCGTGCACTGGCCACCCCCGTATATATAGGCACTTGGAACTCTAAGGTAGTGAGAATTCTCCTGTTCCTTTTCGAACAATAAAAGTCTACTAAAAGCAGACTGCAGGTCTCTGTGTCCAATCGAGTTTCGCCTCTCATTGCCCATTAGCAGCGATTGGCATGTTCCAGTTAGAAACACCAGTCCATCCCTGAGTGCTTTGCACCTCCCCAGATTTCTCTCCTGTGCAATGCCGCGATGAGAGCCAGCGTTAACGCCACCGCCTGTGTAACCATTAACGCCCGCTGTTTCGCATCTACACATGGTACCCTTTAGCGAAATATGGTGTAATTTATTGTTCTTCTCTAGGTTTCTGCCCCATATGTTAAAACAGTACAAGTTCGCTAGTTGTACATTTTTAGTAAAGCGGCAGTGGCAAGTTACTGGTCAGAAGTTGAAAGTGCATGTCATATGCGCACTAACCCATCCATTCATCCTAACCAGCTCATACTGGATTGCAAATGTTCTACATGTGGAGGGATCCACTTAGTGTGCGAATTTCTTGAAATTTATTTCCAGAAAGCTGGAGGGTCTTATTCTAAAACACCACAATTTTGTTTCTTGCAAAAAAAAATGTAGTTAGAGAGCCTGTTCTTTCTATGCACAGTGGTAGCATTATCTCTTCGTATGTCAGTGTTTGCAAGCGTATTCTTTTTTCATTAACACTGTAAACTAGAGCTTGGCTTTCAGTCTGTCTTCACTTCTTAAAGCGACTATACTATAATCTTTCTCAAATAGAGCAAGCTTAATCCAGATTGGTCCAGAAGTACACTGCATAGCAGCTGAGAATGGCTGCTGACTGCTGTTAGGATGACAATACGTTTTAGTCGGGATGCAATAGAATAGGAGAATGTCTTTGCACTCAACTTTATTGCAATGTGAACAATGTAAAAAAAGAATATTTATATTTAAATGCATGTTTTTGGTGAGCAGTGGTAGTAGCAATCACATACGTGACAGTGCAGCTCCAGTACTTTCTAAATCGTGTCAGTCACAAGTGCAGTGACAACCGTCCCTGCTGGAAGAGATTTTGTCTCGGCCGTTGCTGGGGGCAGCACTAGAAGGGCATTGGCTCCCTGTAAGCTGAGCAGCCGGCTGCTAATTTGATTTCCAGTGCTCTTGGCAACTGGTAGTGTACAATCTTCAGACCAGGACAGCACTGCCCTGTGGTACTCTGGTCTAGGGTCCAGGGTCGTGTCGTCTGCAAGCTGCGAAGAGAAAGAGTACAAATTTTCTTTTATGCCATCTTAAAGCAGTCAGACACTGACATAATGATTCGCTGTGGATTACTGCTACAACAAAGGTACCCTAGTAGCACAGGGCTAGCCTGTTCATACTGTTCAAACAGATCATAGACTACGATCTTTTGCACGCACGCGCACACACACACACTCACTCACTCAAAAAAGGACTGTCTTGTTCTCCCCTCTTATTTCGTTTTTGAAAAAACAACTTCAATCTGGTACATTGCGAAGATGTTGAAACTGTTTCCTTTAAGCGTCAGGGCTGCAGCATGATCAAATGATGCACAGCGAAAATCCAGCGACTATGCCTTGTGTCGAGGCAGACAAGGGCAGTCGTGTGTTATGCTTGTTCTCAACACTGCTCTTCCCCCTTAACTTCACATGACAGCCATCAACGACAACCGTGATGCACTCTGCAGTTTTAGCTGTGCGACTGTCTATGTAACTCCTGCACTCAACTCCAGTAGCCAGCTGAACAAACAAAAAGTACCTTAAGATGATCACAAATAAGCTTTTAAACACAGGCAATCTGATGGTGTCTTCAGGGATGAAGTTATGACCACAGATGTGTGGATCCTAGTGTTGATAGGGGTGGAGAGAGCTCAACACATGAGCTGAAGTAGAATGTACTAGAGTGCTCGAGCAACTCATCCAACCAGTTGCCTTACACAATATTGCAGCTTCACATGTCGCCAATCACTAGATTTGCAGTCCACGACACAGCAAAGGCAATTTATCAATTCAAAGAAAGAAACCTCGCAGATCGCATCAGTGCTGAGCACATTGTAACACAGGCAGAAAACTCTTGCTGTCCACTGGAGGCTCAGTGGCGTGGACTATTGATTCACATCACTCACTGGTGCTTCATAAAGTAATAGAACAATGCTATGTATATAGCAAAGTGGGTGGCTGAAGACATGGTTGAGCCGCTCTGATTTGCACAAGTATTAAGGTTTTGTAACAATTTACACACTTGCTGTAGAGAGCTTTAACAGTTTAATGCTTTACACCAAATTGTCAAAGCAAATTCAGCATCACTAATATATACACATGAAGGTTGTAAAGTGCATATGAGTGATGCTAATTAACTACAGTATAGTATTTAAAAATAGATATTTTCTCGAGTAGTTCTTAGTTTTACACTTTGAGATGAAACTGTAGCATCCCCAACGTGCGATTCCTTATATTTGGAATTATTTTTGGAAATGTTAAATAGCAATAATTAAAGTTTTTGTGAAAATCTAAGTTGCTGTACAGATACTGCAAAGAAATTTTTATCTTAGATGCTCATGAAGTGCTTTAGGTTTTCCATAAAGCCTAGAGGATGAAAACAGGTAGTATATAAAAGAACACAAGTGGAGTTTGGGTATCTATGCGTTCCTAATGCCGTTTGAGTACGCAAAAGCTAAAATTGCATAATATTTTGTGGCCATAGTGTACACAGACTCGCCTTTGCTCTGATGGATGTCGGATGAACTGTGGTATGTCCGGACATTTTTCTGAGCCCGGGCAAGACAAAGAGCTGGCATGTGACAGCTGCCGACACTGGATTGCCCGGAAGGCCAAAGACTACCTTGAGCCTGTCGCCGTACACGAGAGACGCAAACGTTGTCGGCTTCCTGCAAAGAAGCGGCAGTTCTTAAATTATCTGTGCTAAACTTACACAAGCAGCTCAAGGTGTGGTCGTACGGTGTCTTGCATGCTGTTGGGGTAGTGAGATTAATCTTGAAAGTTGTTACACGTGAACTGCATGGATGCACGAGACAGCTTCAAAGGTGAACCTACTACTTATGTAATATGAATGGAAAGTTAAGCACGAGATCTGGAAGTGCTGTTCAAGAGGGGAAGCTCATGAGCGTTGGTTGCTTTCCTGATAGCACACAAGTTTGTATCTCATTATCCAGCAATTATCAGTACACTGTACTTACAAACAGCTGGAAATGAAGCTTAAAAGTAGGCTTCGGACACTTTAATTAGTCAACCAAGTATTGCAGTATTTAAAATGAACAAATAGGTGTAAATTAGTCCACATGTAACCTTTCTGCACAGGTGGTTTCACTGCTGCGTAGCAGTATTATCCCGCAAATACAAACACCTATTAAATAAAACGTGCACTGCCATGAAGCCCACAGTTAAAGTTAAGTGAACATACAGTAGGTTTTCATAAAATGGAAGTTGAAGGGACTGCCAAAGTGTGTTTCATTTAACAGGAGTTTCGTTTAGTGAGACATGAACTAGGGTGCAGTATGCAGGGATGAAACCAATCGTATCAGAGGCAGCTTGTCCCATTTAAGAGGACCCTGAAACGATTTTATTGAAGTTTTGTCAGAGTTTAGGCTCGAGTCTCGTCAACCCATAGCACCAGAAATTTAGTGACACGCCGTGTACCAAAACCGCTACGCACAATTATATCACACTCTCCTTCTCACCTCTGCCTGGCCTCCTCAACTCGTGAGGCACGCTAGCGATTGCAGAGCTCTCATGAGTGCGCTCGACAATTTGATCTTTTACCAGTCTAGAACTCAGAGATGGGACGTTGACAGGTTGTATGCAGTCATCACATAGTGCGCCCGACAGCAAGCACGCTGTCCGGCAACGGAGCCTAACATCATGGAGGGGTTTATATCTGCTCCGACAGGTGCCGCCACCCCACCAGCGGATCTTACTTCCATGCATTCTACAGCCCATGACAGCCTATCAGATTAGCAGCCACAATGACATGGCTGCTGACATGCTCTGGCCTTTTAAGGTGGCCAGAGCAGGTCGCTCTGTGAATGGACGGTTGAAAATCTGTTTGGCCAAGTCGCAAGGATCTGCACTGATCTGCAGCGATTCGCAGCTTTAAAGCGTTGTAATAAATTACAATTTATGCTGAGGGCGCAAATTGGTCTCTAAATAACCCTTGGGACTTGGTCTACCGACCCAATGTGTTCGTATAAAATCGCCAGAACCGTTTCAGGGTTCTTTTAAGCAGCTGTTTTGTCAACAGATTCTATTTACTGGGAGTACACTGAATTACCTTCACAATGATTCATAATTTTGAAGTTTAAAAGCTTGTTATATTGGTTTTGCAGCTTGTTATATGCTTTAAATGCACACACACACGCGCACACACATATGGTCAACTAACCCAGGCTTCATGAGGACTCGCCCAAAGTGGATCGTGGCGGAGAACTCCTTGACCAGCACTGCTTTGAGAAGGTCCTGAGGAAGTACTAAGAATGTTAAAAGATGCACACACATGCACATGAGCATTCTACCTTTTCTCCCATAGAGACACCTCCCGATGACACGATCACATCTGTTGCCTCGAAAGCCCTCTCGAGTTTTTTCACGAGATCTTCAAACCTGAAAGTATGAGACAGCTTTTGTCAAGGAGGTTGATACCTTGTCTTCAGAAAAAGATTTGGCTTATTGTGAAGTCCAATTTCTGTTAAAATGCATGAAAGAAGGAGTTTGTAAAGTAATGCTCTTGCAACATATCTGCTGTAATATAGTTTCAAACAAATTTGTTGCCCATTTGAGAGAGTTAAAATTCTAGAAACTCTAGGATATATACATCCTTATTTGTTAGCACATTACTGAAAAAAATTCACACAAAACACAGTACAGATAAGTGGTGCACACCATTCGGATAAGTTTTTTTTTTATCAATGCGTTTATTACGTCATAAAGTTGATTGTATCGACCGTCCCGCAACTTCTCAGCACTACCTCCCGAATCGGTCCACCTTTTACAGTTTACAATGCCAGCTGATGACGTCATGATGTCCCAAATTTTGGTGATCTGTGACATCAGTGCTTGTCTGGAGAAGGTCACATGGGCCTTTGGACTGGGTCTTGTGAGACCTTATGATCTCGCAACTTTTCGTGCAGGTCTAATGAACAGGAGCACTAACTTATCAACTCAGGCCTTGCCTTGCCTTTAATAAGATCAAGTGAACAGCCACAGGCTAGCCACTTTCGTAGTGTTATGTGCAGAGGAGACGTGCATCCGATAGCACTCTAGAACCCTGAAAGCAGAGCTTTAATTTGGAGCCCAAAGCATTTTACAACTATGTTCAAAAGAAGCCAGGAAGTTTACACAATCAGTAACTATACACTAAAAAGTGTCTCTTTTTCCTAAAACTGCATTGAAGCAGATAAGTTTGATCTATGAACTTACAGCGTACATGAAACTGTTTTATGTATTAGCAAGAATTTTTCTGAAGTCCTCTTGACAAGTTTGTGGTATATTTCAGGATTAGTGAATGATGCGTCAATTTGGTCCATTTCAGATGTACTAGTCGGTCCAGTTTACCGACTTGTGATATTGTTCTTTATTATTGGGTTACATAAGTTGTAAACTTGATAATTGATTTGTTTATTTACCAATAACTTCCATTAAAAATTTAGAAGCATAAATGAAACATTTGCTTCATTGGCCACCAAATTTCAACTTCTTTTAAATGCAAGAAACTTAATATAATTTGCTGCAGTAGTTGCCAAGAAAACACATTTCTCAATTTCCATGCATGCTTTCGACAGCAGTGTCTTGAAACCATAGCCATGATTGAAACGACTATAGAAAGCGTGGGAAATGATTACGACAACATACTCGTCACGTGCAATTCCAGCATCGAAGGCTGGAAATCCACTTTTCCGAAGCAAAGCGATGAGTGCTGTCTTGTTGCTGTCCCTTATTTGGCCTGGTTTTAGTTCATCATCGGGGCGCACAATCTGTAGATTAAAATAAACATGAGGGGATGAGATGAGATAGACGAGAGACAATTGCCCAAAGTTATCGACTGCAAAAAGTAGCTCCTCTGAAATTTGACCCGACTCGTACATACAACTAAACAAACACAAGCAAAGCTTAAGAGTAGTCTTCATTTTGCTCAAGAGCTTTGCAATGGCACTCACACTTGTTATTATCTAAAATGAACAATGACTATGTGCTTTAAAGGGGCCCTGAAACACTTTTTCAACTGATCATGGAATGAATTCACTGGAAGAGCTTATTGTCTCGCAAATTCAACGCCGCAAAAATTTTAATAATCGATCCAGTGCGAATGGAATTACAAATGTTTGTCGCGTGCTGCAATTGCATTCTCTCTTCTCTCGTCCCGACGAAAGCGCTGGAAGCTAAGCAGGCAGTGATAGCAGGGCCACAGAAAAACTTCACGCGTGCCTCGTGACCTTGAGCACTTTTTTTATTTTTCTTCGAATGTGTGGCTTTTTCAGTGTGATCGCGCGTGCATGCGTGGACAAGAAGTGGTCTTCCGCGACGATCTCTACAACAATCGAGCGCGCCATGTTTAAGTCAGCCAATGGCTGATACAAGGGTTGTTGACGTGTGATTTTTCGGCATGTAACGTGATTTGTCGAGAGAATTTTCAGCTGACTTTGATAATTTATTGTGAATTCCAGGTTGTGTCCTGTGCAATAATATTTGGCTCGCATGTTGTCGGGAGCCTCCACTACCAATTGGCAGCGTTTCCTGACCATGCTCAAATAGTGTTGCAGGGGGTTTTAAGTGCAAATATACACTCAAACCTCATTATAGCAAAGTTGTGTTTTACATGAAAATAACTTCTGTTATATCCAAAAATTTGTTTTGAAGGTATATTCTTAACACTGTCTACTGCAAGATTATTTATTTACTTAGTTATAACCAATATTTCATTTTATCCAGGTTTATTATATATCGAGGTCTGAGTTTAAGTTACATTTGCTGTATTTATTGGTCTAAATTTCAGAAAAATACCTATATTAAAGGGGCCCTGCTATATCTCGTCCTCAACATTGAGTGACCGAACTTGAGTGCCTAAAAAATTTTCTGATTCTGGAAATATGAGTGGAGTTGCAGGAATTTTCGACCGTTATTTTGTCACAACGAGTACGCTGAAGACAGGGTTGCCAGACGCTGTTGGGCTAAAGATAATAAAGCAATCATCAGAAAAGAAGCCTATAAGAAGCGGACATTTACCTAATTTATTTGTCAATTCATAAATTAATCTCAATAATAATAAATTTCACTGAGATATGAAGAAAAGTAGAAAAAAATCAGTTTAATTATATTGTACATTGAAAATGTACGCAATTATGAACGAAAGCACACATTTGCTTTTCAACATTCTTTCCAGAGTAGTCTCCACTCAGTTGAATGCACAGTTTTGTCAATGTACGATTAACATTACTTGTTGATTTTACCAAAATATGTTTGACACTTCAACACTCAACTACTCAACCTCATCGATAAATGTGCTATTAGTGCATGATGAACATGCTATGGGTAAATGTGGTCATCACTAATGTAACTATACAGTTTTTTAAGAAAATGCAAATAAGTCCCCCGAAAAACACGACTTGTGTCTGGAAAATTCCACAAGTGACTTGGCAAAAAACAAAAACAAATCTGCTATTATTAGCGGAAGTGACAACTTTGATTGGCTTATAACATCACATACACAGATAATGTTTAAAAATCCAATTACACTTTGACAATTACAAATCTAGATATAACTGAAATGAGTTAAAAGTAAATGAAAAATCGTCTTGCAGTAGATATAGTGTTAGGAATATACCTTTATAATGAATTTTTCGGATGTAACGAACTTAATTTCGTGTAAGGTGCAATATTGTTGTAATAGGGTTTGAGTGAGTGAAATAACCTTATTGGGTCCACAATAGACGCGAGTTAACTCAGCTTCACCTGGCTAGGCTCACTCGGGGACGGTCAGGTTAAACTTGACCGCCCTCGCGTGGGCCTTCTGGACGGCCAGGATTGAGAGGCGAGGTCCTGTGCCTTAATCAGCTTGTTCATTTCCTCTTCTTGGAAAGCGGGACCGGCAAAGGCACAGCCCCACAGGTCATGCTCGAAGTTCGCATAGTTCTACTAGTTAGAGTAGTAATGTAAGAGCCAGTTATAGACATCAGCATACTATAGTGAATGCTTAAATGCACCACACTGTGTCTGTGTTTGTCTAACACAAAGTACATTATGGCCATTATTATTATATCGCAGCCCCTGGCTGTCCCTATGCTCCTGTTGCATGGAAAGATACCAGGAGTGAGTAGCGTTCCCTTCTTTCCCAGTTTCCATAATGAGTAACTAAAAGCGTTACCTCATTTCCGGTGGAGAGAACGGCCACTTGCGGCACTTTGTGTATTTTAACTGTGGTTGCGCCAATGCTGGCAAGCAAACCCAAGTCTGAAGCGCTTAGCTTCATTCTTTGAGTCAAGATGCGCTGTCCTCTTTGAATGTCCGATCCCACTGGGCTAGGAGATAAGACATCGAATTACTTTATGACATGGCAATCAAAAAGAATGAAAGTACATGAGAAAAGAAGCATGAAACAAACAAGACAGTTTGACACAAAGATAATATCTGGGGATTATTGTTTCAAAACTACGATATGATTATGACAAATGTCTATCTGGGGATTAATGCATCAAAACTACGATATAATTATGACAGATGTCTATCTGGGGATTAATGTTTCAAAACTACGATATGATTGTGACATATGTCTATCTGGCGATTAATGTTTCAAAACTACGATATGATTATGACAGATGTCGTATTGGAGGGCTCTCGAAATTTCAACCGTCTGGTGTTCTTTAACTTGCATTGACGTCGCACAGTACACGAGTCTCTACCATTTCGCCTCCATTGAAAGGCGACCGCCATGGCCGGGATCGAACCCTCGACCATTGAGTCGGCAGCCAAGCACTGCAACTGCTATGCCACCGCGGCGTACTGACAGTTTGACACAAAAATGAAGATAACGTGAAAGCAACAGGCGTTGTCTTGATTAAGACAAGTCTGCTGAAGTGTCGAAACGAAATGAAATGATGGCTCCAGATAGTACTGTTAATCACTAAAAGGTTAGCAATGTCATTTAAGCAGACTGATTTTTGGCTAAAGAATAAACCAGAACTTATACTTTAAGCACACAGTCACATGTACAGTACTAACTTAACATTACTCAATCTAACCTAATCTAACTAATAAACTGACCTAACCTAATTGCTATTTTGCTCAAGATAACCACGTCATGTCTCATGAAATCTGGTCCCTAAAGATAATGTTAGCTTTTATGTACACATTTGAATCAAAATTATTCTGGTATGACTTGACCTGACAATGTAGGAAATGAAATTATGCGCATTACTTACGCCTGAATTGTCCTGTTTCGATCCGTGAGTACTGTACATGAACACGCATGTGCTTTTAGCAGACATCTCGGCGGGATTCACTGGAGATTTTTCATTGCACACTTTTACAAGGCTCATGAAAGTGCAGTGGTTTCCTGGTGTTTTTTAACGTGCACTGACATAGCTCATACTGTTTAAGCTTAAGAAAAGGCAAGGCTATGTACTAACAATAGGACATAATGAAAACCATGAGAGATATCTTTAAAACAAATTAATAAGTAAACAAAAACATCTCCCATCTGTTCGAAGTTGAATGCTAGCTATGCAGGGCTGACGTTGCTAAGCAAGACTAAAAGTTTTTCTGTATTAAGATCAAACCAGATGAAAGTAAATGTTGGACTTTCTTGGTGTTTCATGATGATTTCAAATGTGCAAAATTTTTTTTGATTCACCCATTCAGAAGATCAACAAAGCTGCCTGTCTACTGCTTCTGGAGATAGTAGGGCAAAAAACAAACAAAAAAAGAGCTCCGTGCAGTCTTAACATTACTGGATTTCTAAGTATAATAATATGCTACAAACACATGCTACAATGCTACAATGCTACAAACACTTTTTAGGTCAAATAATAATTAGGCATTCTGCAGAAGATCTAAATTAATTTTTTGTGCCATGAATACCATAAAAAAAGCAGAATATAAAATTTCTGAAATATATGTGCAAATAATTAAAGTCTGTTCTCAGCACTTAGCGAAATACAGGTCAAGCTTTTTGTTAAAAATAGTTTTAATAGTTAATATAACTCTAGCAATACTAGCTCATTACATATGACAATGATCATTACATTTATTTTTGAATCAATGCAGTGTAATTAAAAAAGGGGGTCGGTGAAAAAACCTATCCTTCAGACAGCTTGTTGAGGCCACAGGCCCCCTCATTGGCAATAACAGCAGCGATATATTAGCAATATATCAACATAATTCCACAATACATATCACTCTCTACAAGCCAAGTCGGTGACCCAGAAACATTTGATATTGAGCTTGTACACATTACATAGTTTACAATGCAGATGAAATACTTGTAAGGCCTAAGTTATGCTTTTCATGTGAAAAAGACACCATATACATATAGTTGTAGATTTTGATGATGTCATAAAAACATTCTATTTATAATTTCTTAGTTTCAACTACCTTATGTCTGCCGTTAACGTCAACGCTACGATTACAAAGATGAAATTAACTGGAATGCACATTTAAGTTGTTGCAGGCATTCTGCCACTTGACAATGAGCAGCATGCTTCCAAAAGATAGCGATACTTCTACAGCACAGCAGTCTCTCTTACATACCGAATGTCCTGTCCGGCTGTAGGGGCAGCTAATATGTTCACTGTCAATTCGTGAGAGCCCTAGTAATACAAGGAGACAGGCATAAGTGTCAAGTTTTGGGTGCAATGCTACACACAATAGAGGAAGTTACCCTAAGAAGCATTCCTTCACAAGCCCTAAAAAGAGAGACTAGGTTGTTATTAGGTATCAGAAGTGATACATTTCTTCACATGATGTGGTCAATACACTTGGTATATAACACACTCAACTGCAGCAGAAAACCAAGAGTTGCAACAACAGCAATCACGATATCACGTCCCAAAACAAACTGAAGCAAGAAGAGTAAGAGCAAAAACATATCTGCAGTGATAATGAAACACAGTGTGAATTCACTGAAATTTTTACATGTGCAAATCATACAGAAACTGGGAAATAATACAATTGTGGATTCAGCCAAATGCCATTATGAAATAGGTTTCAAAAAGACTTCTACTCACATCTTCTGATGCTTGAATGAGCTCAGTGTCTTCCACTTGTACCACTGCATCGCAGGGTTCTGGTACAGGGGCGCCTGTGCTGATTCTCGCACACTGTCCGGGCTTGACGCGGAGCAGAGGCTTTATATGCAAGAGAGTGAATTCTGCTTTTCATATTTGTGATTTGGTTAGAAAACTGCAAGACTTACGTTGGAGCCTGCTGGGATAGCATCTACCACCTCTCGTGGTCCGTCACCATCTGAAGCTGTCGTAGGAAGCATGAGTGTGAGCTACAGTGTACCAGGATTCAATTTAAACAATACCATCACCATATTTCTTTTCGAGTGTTGTCGTTTTTCTTGTTTTCATTGAAAAGCTTCACGGCGTACTCCGGTATGAAACAGTAAAACTTCTCTTGAACCTACATGTCACCATCACGAGAAGACTTAGAACCCTTCGAGCTTCACTGACTGCAAAGACCAATGATTACGATACTGCCTAATGTGAATTCTGAGAGAGCGCAGCTTCGTGTTGTGGCAAGGCGTACAGTGTTTGAAGTTCTGGCTTTCTAGAATGTATTGGCTACGCCATAAATCATAAATTTTGTGAAGTAGGACAGCACCTACCACGTCCTTGTTAGTCTTTCTGCGAGACTGTCTTGGCTGGACAGCCATTAGGGATAGAGCTCCCACTTGCTTTTTTTGCCAGTTGCAAATCTTGCACTGTGATTCGTTTTTATGCACAAGAAACACTGCACCGGTGAACATTCCGTTTCATGTGTGTAAAGCACGTATGTGGAGAGAAGCGTATGAGTGTACAACACATGAGCATGTGTTGCGACTACATAGTGCTGGAAACGAAACACCCGTCGATTTGGACATCCCAGTCTCGAAAGCTACAAAAGTTCAAACAAGGCTGTCTGGCAGCAAAAGAATAGGAAGGAAAGAAGGAGTTGAAATACTTTCTTCACGCGATTCAGAACAAGAGAGCAGGCTCATGACGGGAGTATGTTCCCATCAGGCGGATGTGCACATAGGCCATGTAACAAACAATTTCATCAATCAATATGGATGAGATATTCTCCCAGGCCCTTCCCTACTAGCAACACGAAGCTGCAGATGACTGCTACCTTTTCCCTGAATTTGAAGATACACCTGGGTGGGATGCATTTCAGAACCAAAGAAAGGCTGCAGAAAAGATGTTTTAAACTACCTTCGTTTTACAGCAAGATAGTGCTACGGCTGAGGCAGAAACAACATTGTACATCGCATGTAAAAATGCATTGATCTCAACAGCAATCAAGTAAAAAAACAGGAGACAGTCCAAGCTTTACGAGAATGTATTACTCAATGTCAATAAACATGACTTTCATTGAGAAAAATAATCATGAACCTTATTTCACAAACAATGCTCGAATTATTATGCAACACTACTTGGTGTGGTTTAGGGTGTTCTGCCTTTTAGTTATGCAAGTTTCTATCATAACTCAGCTCCAAACTGTATCATCTCCAGCATAGGCCCACATTTCGTAACATACATCTTCTGGGGAGTTGGCCACATAATGCTGGCACACTTATTAAAATATGCATACTTGCCGATAACAGCATATCCGTCCTTGATAGATGCTGGAAAGGGTGGCAAGGGGTCTGTGGCATACACATCCTCTGCTAATATTTTTCCCAGGGCCACTGTAAAATAATTTAAAGTGATGAACATCACTTTTGCTGGATACTCATAAACATATTAGCAGGCTTGCGCAAATATTCAAACATTTCAAGTATTTCAACGAATGTTACAATATTCAAGTTCACTTCTATTCAAATTTATATTATTGGAAATTTTAAAGTAATATTAAGAATGAACGAATAGGTGTATATTAGTCCACATGTAACTCCCCTGCAAAAGTCATTTCGTTGCAGTGTAGGAGTGCTACAGTTAAACCTGGGTATAACGAAATTGATAAATTCCCGTGAAAATTCGTTATGAAGAGGATTTTGTTATATGCAGGTTCGGCTCAAAATTTCGAAAATAAATACACAAAAATAAACAAAGGGGGAACTGAAGGCAGAGCTACCCAAAACACTTATTTTACAGTAAAAAACTACGTTATTATTGTTACAGCAATCGTATGGACACTCTCGGCGGGTTTTCGCTGTTGCCGCCATGTTCCCTAACAAGCCTAAATTGATAACATGCCCCCGCGCATCATAACTTTCACGAGCAGGTAAAAGCACGCGAGCACTGCTGAAGCAGAGATCAAAAGAGCCGGCCCATCCCATATCGCCTAGAAACTGCATAACATCTCCGGCGTGTTAGAACTGCCATCGCATGCTCAAACAGAAAGTAAACCACCCGTCTGGAATGAGCACTTTTCCCTGGAGCGGCCGTATTTGCTGACACTAGCGTTTTGTACGAGTTCCGCGATATTGGATCCAAAAGAGTTGGCTGCCAGCTTTATTTTTTATAACATTACAATTTTTTGGCTCTCACGTTCATAGCATTGCATTCAACGTTCCATCATGTTGCCAGAACTAATCGGCTAATCGCGAAAGCTACCATCCATTGAGAGTTTCCATCAGCGCCTAATCTGACATCCCCTCGGTGGTGACAACAGGGTTGTGCGAAATCAAGAAAAGCCGCAAGCACGAAGCAATGAATGCGATAGCAAGAACTTGGAATGTAACTCTGAGAACGGCAAGCAGATTAAAACGTGCAGCGTGCTGCTCAGTGCACGAATGACGCAAGAAAACAATATACACAGGACGAGAACGAACTAACGTTTACTGCTCCAGACTTAACGCACTTGTTTAAACAAAAACGAGACACGAAACATAATCACAGGTGCAGATATGAGTGCGAACTAACAAGTGTCCCAGTTGTTGCTGTGCTGTGTTTGAAAAGTGCACTCTTTGCGCAAACCGCACCTGCCCAGATAACGGTGGCAGCGGCAAAAAAAAAATAAAAAATTCAGCCGAGAGTGTCCATATAATTGCTATATCGCAATAATATATAAAAAAAGCTGAACGTCATCAGGGCCACACCATGCGCGCGCAGTGAAATTATGCACGCGTGGGCGACGTCGAAAACGAAGAGCGAACGACACGGATAGCGCAAAAAACTATTTGGTAAAGCACATGCGGAACGCGGCCGTACATATGTGATGCTAACTAAAAGCGTGGCACTGCAACACGCAAAAGTAGTTTTCTTTTTTTATTTTGGTTTGAGGTTTGGGGGGGGGGTCACACTGGCGCAAGCTCATGGGGTGCATGCCCGCCTCGCGCACACCTGCGCACAATAACGAGTGCTCCCTCTCGCCTGGTGCGACTTCGTCGACGGCGGAGCAGCCGCGGAAGATGCACGCTCGTACCAAAACACCAAAATGCGGAGCGAAAATTCCTAGATTGTCCGTGGGAAAAATTCGTTACATCAAGGTTGTCTCCCGCTGTTAGTTAGTTACATAGAGGTTGAAAATACAAGTGCTTCTATGAAGCAACAGCGGGGAATCGAAAAAATTCGTTATATCAAGGAATTCGCTACATAGGTTTGTTATAAGCAGGTTTAACTGTATAACGTGAAGTCCCATTTCGAGATAAACGAACATATTACCCTCGCATCTATTCATCATAAGTTTACATTCTTGTTATACCAGCTCATATGCTCCGAGTACAGTAAATGTTCAAACATAACCTATTTTGCAGGTTATCACTTGCATTCTATGGAAAGTCATGTCGTGCTGCTATTCAATGTTGCTTCTACTTCCTTGAGACAAAAAAAAAATGACATTTGCACATGCCTTGTTTCAATTTTGAAAAATATTCAGCATGCTGGTTGGCATGCTGGTCATAAAGTATAAGTACGCTCTTTTTTTTTTTTGTAATGTGACACATACTACTGTGTCAAGTTCGATTACGAAATGATTTAGCCAAATCACTAATCACTTCGGACCTTTAGGTTACACAAGCCTACATATTAGCATGATGTTATGTTTGCTTAGGAGTATAATGTTACCTTGTAGTACTGCCTCCTCAACACCGAATTGCAGAACATCGCTCCAGTATTATGGCTTGAGCATCGGCAACAGAGATCAGTGGATAGGGAGACTGCCTTGGCCGAGAAGCAACAGTGCTGCTTTGGGATCTCTCTGTGGTGCAGTGGCAGCCTTTTAAGGAGTTAGACAATAAAAATGCATAAATAAATTGATTTACTAGAAAAATCTGTACACCACTTACCATGACTAGCAATGGCTGGAGATGGAGATCCATGCACCTATTAAGAAAAATAAAACCTAAAAATATTTGTAGAGGAAGCAATCATTGAATTGACATTAAATGAAGACGATATCGCTGTAAGCACAGAGGAGAGCCAACGTAAGCCAGCACCACCTAACATTAGCCGATGCTGGTCACACAGAAGTAATATCTGGGATTTATAGTCCCAGAACCATGATTTGATTACTAGGGATGCCATAGTGGAGGAAAATTCAACCATCTGGTGTTAGTTAGTGTGCACTGACATCGCCCAGTACATAAACCTTCAGAATTTCATTAAATGCAGCCACCGAGGCCAAGATCGGACCAGCAACCTTCGGCCTTATGTGTGGCAGTACTTCTGAAGTACTAAATAAATAAACGAGTGATGCAAGAAATCATCATCATCTTAAGACTTCACCTATGTGACATCACGATGACATCACAGATTGGCAAAATTTGCGATCTCATGATGATGTCACATGACGTAGCACTGACATAGCACTATGACGCCATAGCTTAGTCAGAAGTGGTCCGATCACAAAGGCCATGCAAAACGAAGATTGGTGCCTAAATCAAGCAGGCAGTGCAAACCCATGTTTGATGCAGAAAACTTTCTAATAAGTAGTGGAGCAGGACTACTACATCAGCTGAGAAATAAAAGAAGATTGCCAACACCTTTGAGTCGTCTCAAGGAAACCCTGTGAATCTTTGCTTTTGTCTTTCTCAGTCAATTTTTTTTTACACCCATGGCAGAAAGACGGCTTCACCAAATGATCTTCAATTTACCATATCTTGCGTAAGCTGTTTCCATTTAGCACCCTCGAGCTTCTGAATTTCATCACTCCATCTAGCCTTCTGCCATCTTTGGCTAGGCATCTCACTTCTTGGTATCCATTGCGTCAATAAAAGTGACCACCGACGTTTCTGTACTATGCAGTACGCGACCTGTCCATGTTCTTCTTCTTGATGTTGGCTAGAACATTGGCTACTCCAGTGTGTTCTCCAATCCACTTTGCTCTCATCCTGTCTCTTAACTTGTTTAGTTCACTCGTTATTCCACAAGTCTCCACGCCGATATGCAAAGTATCATGTCATTCACAACTTCTGGTGACAGCACAAGCGTGTGAATGCCTTAATTATCTGTTTAGTACTGGTGCTTCCAACACAGAGTATGTTATTGAACTGTGCATCTGTTAAAAATTGAATGAACTTCAACTTTAGTGTTAGATGACCTGTACATTAGCTCTGTGACCCACATACTATTCATGTAAATTCAATAGTCAATCTCGCACAAAAGTCACGACCACAGAACCACACCTGTTAATGTGTATTTTTCATTTGTGTGGTCGTGATTTTGGTGTGAGATTGACTGTTGAATTCAGACATGCATTAACTAGCCCAACAATGAGTTCTACCATTCATATCTATTTCATGCAAGGGTACCATATGATTGTTTTTTCTTACTTCAGCAATAGAAAATTAGGAACAAATAAACTGGCTGTATTCCCATGCGCAGAAATTATCAGGAAGTGCAGGTTATGGTTCTATAGCCGATAAGGCCTGGCTCCCAGGGCGAGATTGTGAGCTCTTCAAACCGTCAGGAATTTATTTGGGGGGAGGGGAGGAGAAGCACCTGCTGAAAGCTGTGAAAGACCTGTATTTCTTATTATTTATTCTCGGAAAAATACCACCCTGCATTTGAATTTTAAGAGGGGGGGGGGGGAGTACTAGGGCGCCCCCAAGGCTATGGATCTGAGGCTCTCACACTGTCTCTGTTATGAATGTGATAATGCATTGCATCATACTATCGCATCAAAATTGTACTTATTACAGTGCACTTTACATAGTAAAATATTTTGAAGATATAAAAAATATTATTTACTCACAGTGGCTATCTGAACTAAAAAACTAATCGAAGAGGCCACTATTTGATAAGTATTCAAAATTTTTAGACGCTTTCAATGCACAGCTACAAACAACCAATCTACCAATCCATAGAGTGTTGCACCTCATAGTGGTTGTGGTCGTGAAAGGGAGATATGGCACTGCCTTCTGCAGCCCAAGAAGAAGCATGGCTCCTCAACACAAGGCACTCATCCAGGCCACATAAAAACTGAAGATCTCCCTCCCTCTCTTTACACACACATAACAACCAGATGAAAAGATCCATAAACAGGGGCTGTGTGCTCAAGTCGATGTTTTGCAAAGTCCACTTGTCGAAACGTTGGCTTGGGCACACAGCCCTTGTTAAATCATTGTTTGATCGCAAGCTTCTATGTTCCTTTTTCTGCAATTTTCACATAACCGGGCCACATTAAACTCTGAAAACTTTCTTTGTTGCTTTAGTGGTGTAAGGGCTATTAGCCCTTTACTGCCTAATGCCGCTAATATGCAACATATCAAAAAACTTTGAGTAAGCAAGTCACGGAATGTGTGCCACCTTTAATGCTGGCTGTGAAGTGTCCACAAGAAACATAGCTTTCAGCATGCAAAATCTAGCGCTATCTTGTGAAATGTACTTTATGCTAGAGCCAATTTTGTTGAAGGCGTAAAGTGCATGCGAGAGCGCTTAATTCTTCATTCTTTCTCACCTGGCTGACGCAAGTTCTATCTTAAAATATTTCGTTTATTTGGTGCGTACACGTTTAAGTCATGGTACAGAACATGTTGCGTAGTTCTGAAGTACATTCTTCATTGCAAGGTCCTCACTTCTGTGGCATGTCGAGAATTCATGATATACATAAGAGTATGCATTAAATGCGCATTTTAGGTAATCTAACTGCAGAATTGTTGCTATTTAAAGCTTGAAAATGAAAACAATATTTATTTCTTTGGCAGTTTCACAATTCAGGCATTAAAGGGTTACTATTGTATTTTCCAAAGGCATAGTACAATGCACACATTTCCATATGAAATGCCCAGAAACATCTGCAGGCCTTCATGTGTAAAGAGCACAAAGGAAGATATACCTACAAAAAGCAAACTGTGAAGCTTGTCTGTCTTCATTTTGCGCTCCTGAAGTTGATCAACAGCGTGTGGGATGGCAGGACTAGCAAATTCGAAGCACTCCTGCAGGAACAAGAATCCATGAACCAAGCCATCTTCACAGTTTCATTCTCCACAGTTACCTGTGCACCTTTGCGGCTTCCTGGGAGATTTATTATGAGAGACTGGTTTCGAATGCCGCATACAAGCCTGTACACACACAAAAAAAAAAGAAAAATCAGAAGCAGCCACGTAGAGAGATCACATATGTACTACCTGCTTTCCAAGTGTGTCAGGCACACTAGAGTCGTTTTCCCTAGCACGGGGGTGCCCTAGGGGCCCAGATCTCTTCCAGCATTCAGATAAAAGGGGACGTTTTACCGAGAGCAAATTATGGAAATATGTGTTTTTTTAAGGCCTTCACCAAAAGACCCCCCCCCCGCCCCCACACACACACACACACAGAGAAAATAATTCCTGGCTATGAGCCTGCCAGCTAGTAACAAGTTGTAAAGAAGCCCTGCAACTTTTTTTTCAGCATGGTAACAAAAAAGCTGTCAATTGGTAGTTGAGGCTTCTGAGAACATGAGAGCCGTACATTATAGTATGGCATGCCGCCTGCAATTTACAAACAGTTCTCAAAGTTGGCTAGAAAGCAGCTCCCTTTTCTCTCTACAAATCAAGCCACATACCAAAATTGCTGCTCCACATACCCCAAGACCCCATCCATCGGCTCATTGTGAGCTGCGTAGTTACCGTGGCTGCCACTGCATGTTGCCTTGTGCCTGTGCTTGCGATAACACTGAAAGTAAGTCATGCGTTGACAGAAAAAAAAAAAACAGAAAAGAAACACCAGGCCTGCACGGATCGCACAGCTCAGTCACAGAGAAAGCTGAAAAAGCGGCCTTTCAGAACCTTTTCTAAACACTCATTGGGCAGCTGCTGCAAGCACACTTACAGGGCACCCACTACGCCATTAATTATCGTAATTTCTGTGTAGTAGAAAAGTATTCACTATGCCCACCTTCGTAATTCTTCAGAGAAGTGTGGTACCCGCTACACACTTGCAAGGAACTTTGTGCAATTTTTTATGCTGTCATTGACGACAAAGTATTATGCCAGAAGTTTTTGTAATCCGCACAATCCCACACAGTGGGTATCAATAGGTGAACAAGATCAAGCTTTATAAAAGTCGAAGAATTCGACCACCCCCTAGTAGCGTGATTCCCATTTTGTCTATGAGACTTGGTTGTTCTTAAGCTGTTCTAAAATCCTCTATCATTCATATTGATGTGGTTCTTTCCTGACATCAAGCCTGCCAAAGGCAAGTTTGCAAAGCAGTTTGAAGCTCTGGCGTGGCTCAGGGGTAAAATACCGAGCTGGCACGCAGGGGACCTGGGTTCGAATCCATTGTGTCTTCGGCGTTTTTATTTACGGAGTTTTTTCTCATTTCGTGCGATAGTGGTTACGGACAAGGGTGGCAGAAGCGGCGTACAACTGCGGCGATGCACGCGACCCGTGTTGTGATCTCATCACAGCTTTCACTGTAAAGAAAAAAAGAAAGTGCTCAAGGTCACGATGCGCGCTGACAAAGGAAACCGTCCTCTTGCCTTCCTGCCATACTCCTGCCTGTGTAGCTTATAGCGCGCTGGATGGTATGAAAGGAGAGAGAAAGCGCTTAAAGCGTTGCTGCTGAAGGGGTTAATAAGAACAGCAGATATTGCGCGATAGCCTTGGATATTAAAACTACGACTGTGTGCGTGGGCAGCGGATGATAGCATTTTCCTTTTCTGAACATACCTTGAGTTGAGAGTAGCATTGATGTCGTTCCCTCTCTTTGTCCGTGTGTGCAAAAAAAAGTTAATATGCATTCATACCAACTAGCTTGTCTGCAGAGACATGGTCTCCTTCATAAATGACACCAGACACACAGCGACTCAACAAATTGCATGCTAGGACACATTAAAAATTTGCAGTTCTTTATCACAATGACACCGAGAGGGGCGGAGTACTAAATTAGCAATTTGTATAACAATTTGTATCAATCTAGTTAGATTGTCTCTGTTTAACAACAAAGCTACAATATTTTGAAAGAATGCTTGCTAGTCCAATGAAGCACAGTGCAATGACAGCCCTCTTTACTGTTGCCTTTTCAGGAAAGATTATAGCACTCTTTTGATCTGCCATTCATGCAGTGGTTCATCTGCCCTATATCCTCATTGCCAAAACTAAAATGACTAGTTTTGCTCATGGCATTCCATTACAGCATATGAAAGCCATCTATGCATATAAATACATTCCTCTGCTTAAATAAACCAATTCTTTAAACTAAATGCGCAGTGTTGCATTCTTTGTGCTAGCCTCGTCCTAGTGCTCAATGTTTGTTGACTGCAAATGCACAGCTCCACTCACCTTGAAAGCATTGCCATTGGAGTGATGTTCAGAGACTTCTGGATGATAGCAATCGCGATGCCTGGTGCTTCTTTCGTTATGACTTCTCTTGTAGCCTGTTGATGAACAGTTAACAAAACGCTAGAGCAAGCAGTTCAATTTGAGGTGGTAAGCAAAAGTGCATGTCCATCACCTCGGGTGTAACGTCTCGTGCAGAGAAACCAGTGCCACCAGTCGTTAGGATGAGGTTAATCTTCTCAACATCGCTCCATTGTAACAGTGTCTTCTGCAAGCAAATAAGGACCCATCACATGTGCAGCCATTGTGACATATGTGAATGAAGAATATAAAATAACAAACTTTGAAAGCATTTTAGGATGTGAGAAGAAACATAACATTAGGATAGCGATCGATTGCAAGCCCATCAGTCTATTTTTGTAGAAGTTCACACACAGGCCACGTGTTCATTCATTAAACAGTCCTTTTGTGGAAGTCTGAACTTTATTATTAAAATTTTGGTAATATCTCAAATGTAGAATACAGAAGAAGGCCCCATAGTCAGAAAGAGTATTGAGATCTGTACAAAAGCAACTATGGCAGTTAACAACTTGAGACAATGGTACCACAAAATAAAGTAATGTTCCAACAAAAACAAAAGAGATCATCCGCTTCTTGTAAAGCAACCTGATCAGGTTAGCTTTTGTGTGCAGGGACAAAATTAGTTTATAAAACATGAGCACTTCTGAATAACTTCGTTTGAATTGCTACATCCGATTGTTTATTGATGACCACATAAAAAACACTGCAGAAGCCACACCTTGCGCCACTCATTTTGATAACTTCAGCTACGGTTTCAAATATTACTTAAAAAGAGCAGCGTGATATTTTTATTATTAGTGGTGGCAAAGTGAAACACCCACCTAATAATTGTTTTCATTTTCGGAATGCAAATTGTTTAAGCATAGTGTGCAGTATCAGTGAATCTTTTATGTCTGTCTGCCAGTGCTTAAATACTTTTTAAGTACATTTACATATATGTCCAAGACGCAGCTGTACTTTGGCATGACACATTTTATACCAAACTAAAGGTAGAAGAACTAAAGTTTTGAAATTTCTCACTTTTTAGTTTAGTGCACAAACAGGCAAAGACAGAGTCTACCATGCAGCACCAACCAGCCCAATCAAGCACCTTGTTAAGGCAAAGACAAAAAGTGCTATGTCCGTGTCAATTTTCGTGCTTGTCTGTTTGTCTGCTGTAAATTGAGACATAAATTACCAACATATGCTTTTTCGAGACTCAAGGATGACTCATCCCTTACCTTGATGTCTTCAATGTCATCTGGAACACACTGTCGAGCTACAACCTTTCCATTTATCCTGTGCCAAAAAGCAATAATAATAATAATGATAACATGGTTTAAGTTGCAGCAATTTTCAAAGAGGCACGTTCTGGAAAAGTTCAGAGGACACAAACATACAGTGTTTTTGCATTGACCATTGCCTCCAGGTTCCTTCCGCTAGTATCCTCGGCTTCACCTCTGGAGCATCTGTCACTCACTGGGAGAATGGTGCACATACTTTGTAACATAAGTAATTCACGTGCAATTTAGTAGTGTTGGTTATGTCTACAAGCTTACATTCAAGTAGCACCCAGTTGAAAAAGGGCCAGTTGGCCCTTTTTTTTTTTTTTTCTTTCGCTGGCTGTGTCTTAGTGCACATTACTGCTCTTAATATATTTGTGCACATACCAAACATTTGAGACGCAGGCTTTACAGTTCAGTAAAACGAAGCCACAATAGCTACCTTTGAAAGTAAAGCGTCACTAAATGCTCCTTCACATGAGCTGCTGCTCAGAATAGAATGGTAGCACACAGAGAGAGCTGAGATCACCCTTTCAGGTAACTCAATTCTGCAAGGATCGTATACATCAAGTTGATTACTTTGAAACCAATGAGTCACTATGAAACACAGGCCATTCCATGCTGCTATCCACTTTTTGACATTATTTCCCCAAACCTGAAATACAGTGCATAATGTTTGAATTAGCTTGAAGCCTTTATGGATGCATAATTTGAACAAAGATGTGATGTACTCGTTTGATTAATGCAAGTTTGTAACAGATGTTTCAAATTACTAGTGGCACTTGTATTCAGTATGGGTGACTACCACAAACCTACAATTATGCTAATGCAGTACCGTTACAAGGTATATAATTGAGAACTTTGGGGTTTCATAATGGAATAGCTGAAGATTTAGTGCAAAGTATATTCATATTATAAGGCTAATATATAACAATAATAAAATAAAACGTGCTGTCATTTAAAAATTAAAAAAATAAAAACTTAAAATCCTTGGGGTTTACAGTCCCAAAACTACGTACGATTATGAAGGGTGCCGTAGTGGAAGGCTCCGGAAATTTCGGCTATCTAGTGTTCCTTAACGTGCACTGACATTACACAGTACAAGGGCCTCCATTTCGCGGCCGAGGATCGAACTCGCGACCTTCGGATCAGCAGCCGAGCACCATAAGCGCTACACCCACATCAAGCCTATGATAATAATACATCGATGATAATAGCAACTAGCTGTCGTGTCATTTCTAAGGGAAGTTCTGCGCGCCGACCGAACATCGTGCCCGACGTTTCGCGAACCTTGTTTGAAAAACGAGCGCGTGTGTGCAACAGCCGCGAAGCCAGACGCGTCTCCAGGCAAGTACGCCTACGCTGCTGCAACACATTCACACCCACCTGTAAGTATTCCCGTCCTAATGCAGTGTTCGCTGTCCATTTTGCGCGCTCCGCAAGTGCACTTGAGGACACGTTTATCTCGTCAACTTCCCAAAATCGCGGCTTAGTTGATGCTGTTCTTGCAACAGTAGCAAAGTGTAAATAATTTAAAACAATCAGGAAAAGGCGAGTCGAACCTACTACGCAGCAGAACACGTTTAAAGGACGAGTTTACAGGGACGACCAAGTTGTGTATCTCATTCGAAGCTGTCTGCTACACGAAGCATTTCAAACACCGGCTAGTCATGACTGGTATTGGCAAACATGAGTGGCGCTAGCGACCAGTCAAGTGTTTGCCATAGTCCTTAGAGTTCCATAGAATAATTGTTGTATGAAACTACATGTCACAGTCTCTTCGTTTCATTACGTTATGGCGGTTATCAGGATTACATCTTACTAAGCTTGACGCATTGATTTGACGTTAATGCTAAATGGGCTTCTTTAAAAAGGTAACTCCGGCTGGTTTTTGTTTTGTTTTTTTCGACATTCACCGATTTCAATAAATCTTGAAGGTGTGTTCCCGTCAGTACCGTGGTGCATATGTGCCAAATTATAGAAGCCGTAAGTCATTTAGTTTATTATAAAACAAATTTTAAAATTAATAGTTGATTCCGAAATTATTTTTTTGTAAACGAGGACCACTCTGCGTGATTTCTTTTTTTTTTTTTTAACCCCGCGTTTCACTTGCAACCTCTTCCTCTTCAAGGCGTTTACCAGCTCCCGCGTAATCGCCTTCAGGTGGGGGGGGGGGGGGGGCATTTTGCCGCTGGTTTCATATCAGCAACCACGGAGGAATAGGAGGTCACCTTCTTCCGCCGTGTCAGCAACGAATGGTTGTTTTGCTCGCCGCGAGATGACGCGAAAAGAGACTGTGGTTTAAGGTCCCTAGATTCATCTAGGGACCTTACTGTGGTTGTGTCGTATTTTTGGTTCCTGGGCTGATGCTCGGCAATGCGGTCTTGTGTAGGAGATCAGAAGTTCAAGCAAGATTAGAAATTCAGCAACGTTGATTAGGTAGGCTTGCTTTAGGAGCTCACAGGAATACACCAAATCAGGGAGTACAAGGTGATACGAGATGGACATTATTTGAGGGCAGGGAAACTAGCAGCAAGATAAAATTTAAGAAGCGATTGAGAGAAATGGGGAAGGAGCGTTGGGCTAGGAAGGTTTTCAGCTATTTGTACATGAAGAGTGTGGATACGAAATGGAGGAAGCGAACCAGGAAATTGTCTGATAAATACTTAAAAAACAGCAGGTGGCCAAACCGAAAAGAACTATTGGTTAAGAAGAAAGTGAAGGAAACGTAGACTAACATGTGGAGAATTGGCATGATTAAGAAGTCCGCACTAGAGATCTATCGAACTTTTAAGCAGGAAATTGCCAAGGAAAGAATCTATGATAATACTCGGGGTAGTTATCTACTGTTTGAGGCCAGGACGGGAGTATTGCGAACCAAGACATATCGGGCCAAGTACGAAGGGGTAGACACAGTATGCAGTGCGTGTGGAGAGGAAGAAGAAACTGCCGAACAGTTGATAATGTTCTGTAAAGGGCTTCACCCTATAGTTCAGGATGGTGGCGCAGAGTTTTTCAAATCACTGGGGTTTAGGGACAGGGAGGGCAAAATAAACTTTAAGCAGGTAGAATTAACTAGATGAAGGTTGTCTGATTGGTGACTGAAGTCAAGGCATGAGTGAAAATTAAACCCTTCACTGCAAAGTACCAGTGCTCAACGAAAAAAAAAAGATAAATCTAGTGGTTAGTTCACTAAGTATTACAGCTGGGTGGCATTAGCCGCCACCCGATCTAAAGGGTACAGCCACATTCATCCATATATCCATCCATCGCTATCCATCCGTTGCTCTCGCTTTCGCTGGAACGCGCCCCGGCGCGCAGGCCACGCGCTCCCGTGTTCTCTTTCATAAAAATTGGAAAATTGGCACCGTACGGGCACGAGTGGTGCGCCGCAATTGACGAGCAATATTGTCGCCGATGGCGCCTTCAAACCACTGGGCATTCCTTCAGAACCGTTCTTCCACGTTGGCTTAGACCTACTTGGCCCTTTCTTTTTACTTCCTCTGACAACAGGTTGATAGCTGTGACCACAGACTACGCCACGCGCTACGCAATCGCACGAGCTCTTCCAACAGGCTGCTCCATGGATGTTGCCGACTTCCTCCTACACGACGTGATTTTGCAACATGGAGCTCTACGCCAGCTCCTTACAGACCGTGGCCGTAGCTTTCTATGGAAGGTCATAGCCGACATCTTGCAGTCGTGTAAAACGAAACACAATCTCAGTCCGTCATACTATCCGCAGACAAATGTGCTCACCGAGCGCCTTATTCGAACACTTACAAACATGCTCGCTAAGTATGCTTTTTCAAACCACTCGGACTGGGATCTCGCCTTACCATACGTGGTAATTCTTCGTGCCATGACACTGCTGGTTACTCTCCTTTTTTTTTCTGTTAGAACCAATATTGCCTCTAGATACAGTCATATTGTTTACGGCAGTACCGACCAGCGAATTCGCCAACACTCGGGCTGCCCACGCATGGAAATCGCCCGTACTCGCATTCTGGCCTCTCAAGAAAACCAACGGCGATTGTACGATCACGAACACCGCGACGTGCACTTTTCGCCTGGTTCTTTGGTCCTGCTGTGGTCTCCGACTCGTCAAGTCGGCTTGTCGGAAGGACTGCTTTCGTGCTGCACAGGTCCATACCGAGTTCTTCATGCGATTACTCATGTGACATGTGAGATTGTCCTTGTCAGCCTCCCCGCCTTGATCTGTCCAACAGGCTACCGATGGTATGTAGCATTTTGGGAAGGCTATCAGGTTTACGCAGGTGTGCGCCGGGTCTAGAGCAGCCGACAAAGATAGGACAGAGCGCAAGGTAGAAAGAAAAAGTAAAGCCACATTTCCACCAAATTGGTGAAGCAATGAATGTGATAGCAACATATTACAATGTATTGCCACGGCCTTTGGATTACGAAGCAAGGCTATAGAATTTTTAGGAGCAATATTAATTGTAGTCGATCATGCGCTAGCTAAGTAACCAAGTTTCTTGCGACGCGGTCACAGTAGATGACCACAACAAGGCTCGTGCATTGTGACGGCGTTGATATACGAAGTTAGGCTGGCATTCAAATTATTTAGATCATATCCCACGTAACTCTACAAAACGTTGTATAGGAGAACACGACCGCTCCAGATACACTATTGGTACCGTTTGTGTGTGTGTGTGTGTGTGTGTGTGTGTGTGTGTGTGTGTGTGTGTGTGTGTGTGTGTGTGTGTGTGTGTGTGTGTGTGTGTGTGTGTGTGTGTGTGTGTGTGTGTGTGTGTTAAGATCGCAGCTCGTGGAAGCTCCCGCCTGCTGTGAGGGCACAAGCCACGCGCTGATCGTTGCTCGTCGGTACACCTTTTTTTTTTTCTTCTTTGCACGACGAGAAACAGGGCACGCTCCTGCGAAAACACAGCAGATAGGCCCAGTGGCTTTTGTCGACCAAGCGAAACCAAAAGCCCAACAGTGCCACCGTATTTTCGTGACATGTTCGGTGGAATAAAGGAGATACAGATAGATGGTACACGGACAAAGTATATCTATTTTTTACACCATGTGTGCGCTATGTACGCTCTGTAGATGGTAGTGCACACAAATGTTTCGCAGCTGCGCTTCGACTACATGGATGACAAAGAGCCGTGACGACGACGGTGGAACATCGTGAGGGCCCAAGGAACTTCGCCCCTAAAAACGGGCACCGTTCCATAAAACGCAGGACGATTACCACCGGAATGCCGATCCACAGCAGGAGCCGTCTAGAACAGTACATCCAATGTTGCTAGCATCAAACGAGGCCTCTATAGAGAGGCCTCGTTTCGGTGATTTTATAAAAACACCGATGCAAAAACATGAGTACATATGAAGCTGATTGCAGGCGTGCATAGGTGCGTTGTGTGGTCTGCTTTGTGAGCGTGCCACTGGAGGCATCGCTATCGGGCGACTTGGCTTGCAAACAGTACGCTTGTGTTGCGGGGTGAAAGCAATTGATTTTGAGGTTTTGTTGTCTGCGGCATTCATGAGTAAAACTGACGGTGCACCGCTCTTTTAACACGCCGTTGTGGCAATTTTTTACGCTTCTCAACAAAACATCCAAACAATAATTGAGGTGGTCTTTGTGAGCTCGCACTTCAGACAAAATGCCTGAGAAATTGAGGAAACTTCCCACAAATAAGTGGTGCCAAGCCAGAAGGAAAGACAGAATTGGGCAGCCTTCCTTTTGTTTTCGTTTATTTTTACTTTTTTTCGCTCGTTGTTATTGTCTTGTTTTTATCATTGTTCATTTTTATTTCTCTCACCATCTAATTCTGTCTCTTCCTCGCTCTCTCGCATTTTGCTTCTTTGTTTTTCTATATCTCTCTCTGTCTTGCTCTTTGTTTTGTCTATATCTATCTCTGCTCTTTCTATATGTCTTTCTCTATTCTTATGTCTTCGTTTCTCTCCACTCCCAAGCCGAGCAAATTTGCGCACTCCTTCCGAGGACCAATCAGAAGATGAAGAGGAGGACGAAAAGAGCGCGTGCAGGTCGAGTTATTGCGCTCGTGACGATGATAAGTTTTTACACGACCGAAAGAGTTTCTCCTCGCGAAGAAGTTTTATTCGACCATAGAGGTGGTATGTAATTTAGAGGTTTTGTGCTTCGTGGGCCCTAGTTATGATGATGCTTCAAGTATACCATTTCTGCAAGGCTAATCACCAGAGATCTCGAGCCAGCCGTGGCCGACTCGCTTTGCTTCCATTTCTGCTCTTCACATCGCGTCGAGATAGACCAATGGCATGCGTAAACGCGTGGCATCAGAGTACAGATCGTTATGGTGTTCGCAAAAAATCAGCGTTCGAGCTCGCATTTAGATCGCGAACGGCGTCCATTTTGCTAAGGATCGAAGCCATAGTCGACAAAAATTCTGGAGCATCATTCAGATTCACCAATGAAATATGTTTTGCCCTTAGGAATCGCTCAGACTTGTCAGAACGTTCCTCAAGAACACTCGCCGAAATTGTTCTTCAACCGGACTAACTCGAACTCACACTCATCAGTATATCACTCACCTGCACTCACTTAAACACAGACTTACGGCTTGACCTGAGTCTGCATTTGCCGACCTATGGTTTCGAGTGATGGCAGGCAACTGCGATGAGTTGCCCGCTCGCGGAGTTTGATTGTTCTTGTAGAACGGAGCATGGTTGTGCAGAACTGTTAGTTTTGACGACAAAAGTCTTCCGTGCGTGCACTCCGAAGTGCAGGATGTGGGCGGAGCGTGTCCATGAATGGTAGGAAGCAAGATTTGTCACGGGCTTTAGACAATTCACAAACAAGGGCGTCCGCAAAGCTTTTTGAACAACAAGAGCCTAATTTGGGCGAGTTGGTTCATCGTAGCCTCTAATCGTGGCACCTTCAATAAATTCAGTTGGCAGTCAGCGCTCTTTCCTGTCCATTTGGTCCCTTCCTACCGTTGTCGCACTTTCACTGCATCACAACCACATTTTGAAGGAAAGGGTGGGAGGGCCGTAGTTTTTCCGTGACATGACCGTATAACGTGCGAAGTTATAAAAGTAGCTCAAAACAACGAATGCCGTTTCACCTGGATATGCGGCTCCTTTTCTCTAATTTTCTTCACAGTCGATGAAAAAGGGTTTCCGCGCATTCACACTACGCAGATGCTGCGTTGCTGACGGTTGGCCACCGCTAAGAATTTTCTGCATTAATTAGCAAAGCACGTTTCATTTAAATCAAATCAAACTGGAGACTGGCGCCGGCACCAGAATGCAATGACGTGCCGCTTTTTTGTAGTCTGTGGTGCAAGTCAATGTTGGCGACCATCTGTACAAGCATGGGTGGCATGAATGAGAGACATACGTTATTGCAAAAAAACGTTTAATAAATATCCCAGCACGATGTAGTAGAGATCGATTGGCACAGACACATGCCGCGAGTTCCACAGTCAAGGTCGCATCTTTACATCGTGACGTGACGCTGCTGAAAAGAGCTGCTTCATTAATGCGAGGAAAGACATCCTTGTACCTCATACAATTGGTCTAAAACCTATCAAATGTGGAATATTCCCATAACATATAACCTTAAATGCCACATGATTCTGTATCCTAGGCTGCATATGAAAGCTGTTATTGAAGTCTGCGTAGAGGCCGTCTCTTCACTTCAGTATATTGATATATTTTGCAGCGCGTGAGTGCGAAGATATTTCCCGGCTTAGCGAATCAAATGGATACCTTATCAAACTAGGCGCTGCACTTAAAGGGGCACTAACGCAACAACTTTCGATCTGGCATTATTTTTTTAAAACAATATCTTGCCAGGGTCCCATTAGTCATAGCACGACACGTCGCTTGCCGCTGTGCGCGACAGATGATTACTTACAGTTTGTTTATGCTACCAACCAGTATCAGCTTGAGTTTGGGAGAGCTCAGAGAACGACAATCCACCGGGTGCAACCAACGTACGACTGATAAACTCGACCATGTCGCGACACACAGACCAGTGACGAACTTCCGCGCTGCCTGCATCACCTGCTCGCGTATTTCGCCTGCCGCATGCACGCCCTTGTCGATCACTTTCCTACATGCATGTCACCTGGTGGCGATGACTTGAGGCTTACGCACTTTTCACGCGTTCGCCGCGGGCGCGCACTCGCAAGCAGCCACCAAATTGTAAGTGGTCACGCAGAGCTGCAAAATGTCGACTAGGACGGTCTGCAATGACGTTGCGGAAGTTGAGGGTCGCCTTTCGGCCACCTTGTCAGTGTCGCGAGGTGCGGCTCTGTACTGCGCAAGCGAACGTCAAAGTTCATAAACAACCAACTTCCATGTTATGTTTGTTGTTGAGAGTTGCTAGATGACATACGCGTATTCACGGTAATCTATCCCGCAGATGCCATCTATTCCGTGAAATACTGCAGTCAGAGCCCGTTGAGTTACGCATAGTGAAATACTTATGTGATCCAAACTTTACCCTTTAAAGCTTTGTTTCGATCAAAATACTTTGTCTAGACTGAAGGCCACTACGGCCGAGAAAAAATGTACTGACAGGCGCGTAAACGTCGAGGAAAAAGAAAGAAAAAAAAGAGAGAGCGACGTTTGATTTCCTCGGCAGCAGCGTGAAACACTTTGCGAGTGTGAAGTGGCCCAGGTCATGAAGTCCAGTTTCTTTGGACTATCGCAGGAAGTATCCGACGATCGTCTGAATGATCTCGAGTGGAGAAACTGATGCAGCCGTCGTACTGGCGCGAGCAGTCCGCGTCCTCCTGGCGTCCATAGCGAGCCGCGAGCTGGTACTTGGACACCACTGTCGTCGGCTCGTCCGGTGCAGAGTACGGCCTGCGGGGAAAAAAGGAAAAAAAAAAGCTAAGCGCGTAGCATTTTATGGGCCCGGCTTGTCGACCGCCATCGCGTGGTCACGCACTGTTCAACACAGTCAATCGGTGCAGGCCTAAAACTATGAAAGCGACACATAAAAAAGAATTTTCGCGTGCTATTAAAGCACAGTTTCACGATCCCGAAAACAGCACTCTTATTCCTCCCGAAATACTTTTCCGCCATGCATAAATAGCGCGAAATAACCATTTGTCTGTCCGACCCCCCTCTTTGTATCAAGGAGCCCCCCCCCCCCCCGCCCCCCCCCGCCCCCCCCCCACACACACCACACAAAAAAAATTTCTACATACTAACCTGCATGATGCTATGGATTTTGACGGTGTCTACTGGGTACCACTGTTTTTCCGATAGGTAAAAATGAAGTACATCGTCATCTGTGGGTTCCATAGGCCTAACATGTCTAGTTTAAGAAAATTTCATCGAGCTGCTTACCGGCACTTCCAACACCCTTGCTGAACTAATAGACTTTCTAACATAGGCCGTATAATTACGAGGCACAACGCGCATATACAGTGGAAGACTCCGGAAATTTCGACCATGTGGTGTTCTCGCCGCAGCTGCGACTGAAAACGCGACTTTCGGTTCTGTATCGATCACTGTAATCACCGTGGCGGACAACCCGCAAGCCAGGCTCTTCCACCCGAAGGAAAATTATTCTAGCGCAAAGCAACACATGCAGCTCTTCGTCTGTCCGTGTGTTGCTAATTTGAGCTTGAATAATTTTCCTTCGGATGTAATGAACAAACCCAAGAAAATGTTCTTCTAAGAAACAGGATGGACTTCTGTGTTATCCGCCAGCGTACAAACTAGCCCGACGGTGCAGTTCTCCGTCGAATTCCCATCAATTCATGCGTGCACATCAAGCGAAGATGGCGTACTCACGGGTACAGCAGCTGCAGGGCGAGGCCTAGGAGTCCGTACTTGTTGGGCTGGTTGTGTGCCTCACAGACGCTTCGCTTCATGCACTCCTGCGGGTCCAGGCTCGGAATGCTGGGGAACTTCTCGAGGCCCTTGTCCACGCGCGTCATGACGAACTCGCTCAGGCCGGCCAGCCCGTTCCCCAGTGCCCGGTTGCTCTTCTTCTCCCACGGCGGCAGCAGCAGCAGAGCAGACACCGCGCTGGCCATCAGGCCCAGCTCCAGCGGAGACCTATGATAAAGCGACGCCTCTGACGATCTCGCGGAACACTTCAATGTTGCTCACCTTGGCCCAACGTTGCAAAAGTAGACTCCTTCGTAAACCAATGTTGAAACACGCGACCTTTTCTTATGAATTAAGAGGGGGTCTGCCTGGCTATTTCATTACTGCAGCGACAAGTGGTCATCATCCCTCTCAATTTTACCAGCCAACTTTCTGAAAAGTCATCGGTCATCTAGAAATCCGACGGATTTCGATTCTCTCCATGTTCTCTGACCGATTCTCATCAAATGAGAGAGAGAGAGAGAGAGATAAACTTGTACAAATATTTTGGTGGTGCCTAAGGGCAAGACAGCCATTACGACTTCAGTAAAGCGAAACTGAACGGTCGTTAAAAGTACATGCGGCACACGAAGGTTACTGATACTCGACAATATTAACAGAACATCTTTATCCTCAACGTTTAGAGTAAACCGCAGAGTAAACAACCCGAAGTGCGAGCACTGTTTCGGAAGACCCTCGCGACAGGGGCAGTCAGTGCGGTATTAATTGGAGGAGACTTTTATGCTCAACGCGCTGCACGCGGTCATAAATTCGAGACCCCGAAAGGCAGAAAGCTCAGCTGGACAGGCACAGGCGCACAACGGAAGAGCCAGTAACTAATCCTACAGCTTCCAAAAGGAGAGGCAGCAGTGTTTGCGTTGACACTACTCCAGACCTTATACTTTCCCCCCAAACCTAACGGACACACAGTAGATAAATAGGTGGGAAGATATAGGCAGTGACCACAGCATAATAGAATTAAGTCATGACGCGACCACGTGAAAGCAGGGGGAAGAGCTCAGAATTGTAGATTGGGATAAATTTCTGAACATAAAAAACGCGCGGCAATAAAAAAAGAAAACACCGAAGACTGGACTGAAAAGATCGAGAAAGACGTAATACGAATAGTTCCACCAGAAGGGAAAGTTACAGTTTATAGTCAATATGCAAGATGAGTGCAGGATTCACGCATTCATCAAGCAAATGAGGTGCGCGAAAAAATTGAAGTACAAAAAGAAGACGCCTAGACACAGCGCACAGTAAGGTTAATGTGCGCTGTGTGTAGGTGTCTTCCTTTTGTACTTCAATTTGTACTTCAATAAATCAACTTTGTGCTTCAATCAAGCAGTCCGTTCTCCTCAAGAAAATGAAACTGCATTCACGCAACAGCTTAACAACGCAGTAAAAACTAAGATGAAGCAAGGAGTGAGCAACACACCACACGAAGCGCTGACTATCAACAAACTGAAATTCATTCTGGTGGGAAGCGTATATAAATACATACACGTATAGGAACACCCCGTAACAAAAACAAAATACGTTTTGACCAAGAAGCACATAGAAACAAGAATATCAGATGATGCTGCATACGCGTAGCGTAAGCTGATGAGCAATGACAAGTTCGGCGAGACATGAAATTTTGTTGTCAGTGTTGTTCGTTCCTTGGCTCAAGATGATGAAGCTGACAAGTTCACGCTTTTGATGCAACAGATATTTGCTTGTTGTTTTGTTGATACTTTCGACATTTAAGCATTTCGGTTAGTTTGGTGATTTTTTCCGGTGCTGACGAGCTCTCACTGCAGTGCTATCGCATCACGAAGTGCCAGCTCACCTGTAATACGAAGAGTGCAGTGCACGGCCGGTTGCGTTGCTCGGAGCGATTTCATTGAAAACTTGGTCGCGGCTGCCGTCTGCAGGATTGTGAGCCAGGACGGTGCACGCGAGTAGAGCCAGGAGGACAAGGTGGTAGGCCATGGCTGCGAGGGTACGAAAGTTAACACCCCATTCGTATTACGACTGTAACAAAACTTCAACGCCGACATAGTGCTCTACTGGGAGCGTTATTAATTTATAATTCATTATTAGCACCCGCCACAGTGGTCATGTGCTGAAATTCCGACCCCAAGGTCGCGGCAGCCGCCTTTTCGATGGAGGCGAGAATGCTCGAGGGTCGTGTGTTTAGATTTAGGTGGAAGTTAAAGAGCCCAAGATAGACGAAATTTCAAGAGGCTTCCACTACGGTGTCTCTCATAATCAGATCGTAATTTTGTGACGTTACACCTAATTTATTAATTGATGTTAATTATTAGCCACCAACAACAATTAAGAACAAAAAGCTTTATGAATTCAAAGATTTGGACTAATATATATTCTCGATATTTCGCTCACTAACTTGAATCCTGTCGTTCTGTTGCTGCCGTGAATCGCGCCTCAAATTTCTTCGGGCGCACATTAGGCCGCACACATTTTCTATTACAGCACGCCACCGCACTATGGAAATAACCTTCCAGGCAATATAGTTGCCCTAACCTTGCTGAATTCAGATTCATGATATCTTGACTTTGTATAACGACGCTTTTCAACATAGAAATGTTTTATGCCGGGTTCCACCAAAATTTCAGTGATGTATATTCGTCATGGAAATTAGGTCGGTAAAATACAGATGACAAAAAAATAGTTTATTTTTTTATTCGGTAGTCGAACCAGAAACCTCTGAGTTTACGAGCCTGTTAGGTGCCAGGCACTGCAATAATTACGATTCGAACATTTTTTTTTCTTTCATGGTATTATTCTAATGTGTATTTGAACTGATCACAAATGTCATGACGTAGTGATGCACTCACTCAGCAACAACAATACACAAGCACATAAATACATACACACATGTATGTATGTATGTATGTATGTATGTATGTATGTATGTATGTATGTATGTATGTATGTATGTATGTATGTATGTATGTAACGTGTTTCATTTTTTTCGGTAACTTAGTAACGTACTTACTTACAATTTTTCGGTAACGTGTTGTGTCACGTTGCTCGTTACGTTTTCATCTTGTATGTGCCATTTTCTCCAGACCCTCGATGAATTCTTTTGCGCCTGCAGGCTATGACACAAAATGCGAGGGTTGAAGTGCTTTTTCTTTCTTTTTGGGTACAAATCGCCGATAGAAATTCCTGAAATGCCTTGACTCCATGTAGGTAGTTTTGAACCATCGCCACACAAAGCTAGAAGAAAGGCGCGAAATCCACCATTAGAAACATCATTTTAATTAAATTGGATTGTGACATTAAAGTGGATTGCTGGCTCCTGCGCCTTTCCATGCCCAATAGATAGGCTGGCGGAAGGGAAAGCGCACGGACTGGTTTACTCCATACCGCGTGCTAATTGTCACGCTTCGTACACGGGGTGGTGGTGGTTATAAGAGGAAGAAGACAGCTAATTTCTGCAGCCCGGTAGGGAGCACGGCGCAGTGCCTGTACACAGGGGAAGCAAAGAGAGCTGTGGTTTGTCCCTTCTTCTCTTGTGTCCGCGTAATCGTGCGCTGTGTTAAAATATGTTCAATATTAGGTCCGTTCAATTCACCTGCACCAGTCAGAACCGGTTCACAGCTGCGCACGCGAAGTTCAGAAATTGTGCAGCGTGAGTTCAGCGGTGCAGGCACAGCACGACACCCGAAACGAATGACGATGTGCCGACAAGGTGCAGGCCTTATTTCTTTTCGCTTAATTTACACCGTTCAGCAAGCACTGACCGATGGCGAATCGAACATGCGACAGTTTATGAGGCGCAAACATCTTGACAAAACCCACCGCGTTTGTATAGGCGGGTACACGGCGCCTAAGCCACCTACGCCGAAGTGCTGCGTCGTCTGCTCAGCTGCACGCGCGGCCGCACCAAGCCGGCATCGTCAGCGTAGGAGGTGCAAGAAAATCGTGAACCAGTGCTACACCTCTTCTGTACCTTTCGAAACGAATGGCAGGGTTCAGAGGCCGTCATTGCTACACCGCTGAAACGAACGGCAAGGTGCAGCACCTCGTGAACTGGTTCACGTGGTGCAGGCGAATCGAACGGAGCTATTTTAACACAGCGGCAACATAATATCGAGTTAGAGTGACAGAGGAGTGCACTCGCCGAGAACAGCGAGGTGAACGACTATACCGCATGAAATTGCCCAAGTTCGGCATCGGCTTTTTGTGGAATCCTGGTCCATCCAGAAAACAGCCCATAAGTTAACCGGACTACAGGTGCATTATCAATGGACCCTGCCTAAACGAAATCTTGCATATCATGGACAATAGGCGGCACCCTATGGCAGAAAGAAAACATTTAAAGAGAATGCGAGTCAGGCGCGAAACGTCGATTTTTTTCTTGAGAAGAAGACAAAAAAAGCCTTATTTTTTCCTCGCTATCTTGGTTGGCTTGGTTTCTCGCTATCCGCTGTTTCAACCAAAGCCCAACAATACCACTCCCATATACGAACACTACGGCTAACAACAGTTACAGGCAACAACACGGCTGCAAAGCTGGGCCTTAGGCAGAAATTTCTACGAGGGGGGGGGGGGGGGGGGCACCTCTTTGAGCTGAAGTGGGGACCGGGCAGACAAACGGCCATTTTGCGCCATGTATGCCATGACGAAAAAAATTTAGAGAGGGCCCGATATGCCACTCTCTGGCCAGTGTCGCGAATGGTAATACCACAAGAGATCGACACCAATCCTAAAAATGTTATTTTAGAATTGATTGAGTATTTGATACTTGATGCATATAGCATACCCGAAGGAAACTCGGTTCCCTTCTATATTTCTATATCGAACATATATTTCTATATCGAAGATATTCAACACGGAGAAACTGATTTCATCACCAGTCGTTCTCGAAAGTTCGTTATGATGTAACACAGAAATATTACCGTTACAAAGAATACATCTTGTGTACTAAATGTATGCACAACAGAGAATTGAAGGATATTGTTTGGAACTTGTAGAGCAAAGAAAAAACTATTTTTGAAAAATGTCTAAATATGAGTGATTTTCAAAATAGTTGCTACAAAGTTGATGAGACTTTTCAACTTTGTTTTTAAAAGAAGTTTTGCTTCTTTTCTCTCCCAACAGCAGCTACGTTTTTGGTTATTGAACTGTTGAGCCAGCTCACATAGACGGCCACAAATTTGTATGGTAATTATACAAGCTAAAGTGAACGAGAAATGTTTATGCACGAATATTTTTCCGTGACTAAGTCATAAAGCCTTTCCTCAGCGTGTCGTCAGAATAGGCCTTTTCTGTGTCGGTCGTCAGTGCCTGGGAGCCGGCGTCGATGAGGCACGCCCCATAAGTGTTGGTGACCCAAACGAGACGACATAATTCACGGCAGGAGTGGACCAAGAAACATGTGGTGTCACATAGAAACCATCGTGAGGCCGCATCTAACACACAACACACAGGAAGAAGCAGACGAGAATCGTTACGTATAGTGTGTTGTGTTTAGTTGCGCCCCCCGATGATTTCTATGTCAAAGCACCGACTCGCCCAACAGCCAACTAACTCTCTAGAAGTTCATATCTGGTGTCACAAACGTGCTAATCCGCCCACCCCCCACCCCCCAAAAAAGAAAAAGAAAAGCTCCAATGCAGGCCATCGCGATTGCCTATACTGGCGCGCGGCGGGCAATTTCAGAGGCCAAGGACCACCAGTTTCGATGTCGACGATCTCCACGGAAGGAGATGTCCGGACCCGGAAAATGCTGATTACTGCAAATTCCTTGAGAGTTCAGCGATGTTTTCTTTGCGACTGGCACAGATGATTGATTCTGATATTGTGTATTATATGCCGCATTGAGAAAAATGACGTCACCATGTGCCACAGAGTACACAAGCCATCCCACGTTACAAGCCATGCTAACATTGCTAAGGTCCGGTACATTTGTACAAATAATACTCGTTAAATGAGCATACTGAATACAATCCTTTTTGGGGAGGGTTAGATGTTTTATGTGAAACATAAGTTGGAGATATAAAAAATGCTTGTTATGCAGTTCCTGTTCCTTTGGCGTGGCGCGATTTGACCGGGAGGACGGATCACTTAAGATACAAGCAGGCCAATCACGTGGCTGCCGGCAGGTGAACGAGGTGAGAAGCGCGAGCGGGCATTTCGGAAGGGGTATACATCTACGAAGCCATAAATACACCTTGTCAATAACGAGGCGGTTAGCGAAGGCGGACGAAACATCAATGCTGTCGTTACAACAGCTCGCAGGCAGCCTTGGGATTTGGCTAGAGCAGCTTGGACGAGGACCATCGCCAGATTTATGCGCTGAACTCAGAAGGCTTACATACATCCAGACATGTCAGATATGTGCGTACACTGAACAAATCGGCACCAATTGTTGACGCGGCGCAGAAATGTGTACGCGGCAGCTTCGTGGGCTGCTGGCACGCTTCCTCTCGTGCTCCAATTGCGAGCTGCCTTGCATCTAGCTAGAGGACCATAGCAGCCAACCGAATGCGCCATAAGGCAGCTTTGCACAAGCCTGGAGGAGGTGCGGAGCTGGATGACCTTCTTTGTTTCTTGTTCACCTTCTCTTGCGGCTCATGCCCACTCTGGGGGATTGGTCAAGAACTGAGTGGTCTTGCAAAATCTTATTACATTTTAGAGCAATTGAGGTTTCTTTTTGGTTTGCCCCCTTTTTTTCTCCTACTTTCTTTTTCTCTTCTCCCGTTCTCTCTCTTTATTTCTATTTCCTCTCTGTTTGTTCATTTCTTTCTACTTCTTGCTGTTTATATTTTTTCATATTTTATTTTTGATTTTCTTTCTATTTCGCGCTTCAGTTGCTTCTTTTTTTTTTCTATTTGTATATGTGGTTTCGCCAGTGCTACGCGAAGCGCACTAGCATTTTTTTCTTCCTTCTCACTGATGACACGCACTCGTCATCAAGGTACTCGAAGAACAAGAGGAAGAAAACTTCACTTTGGCCA